CCAGCCATAAAGATTTAGTTTCTCCCGATTCCAGGATGTTCATCAAGTTAACGTATAAGGAATCTTCTAGTGTTTACCTAATCTCAGTAATGGCTGAACTAACATTTCTCAAGTAAACAACGCAAACTCACAGCTAACAAAGTTGCTCCCTCAGCTTTCTACTGCAAACTTATACTAGGAGATTATAGTTCAAAACCTCTAGGGATTAAAGGCTTCATTATAATCATCAATGTTTAAAACTATAAAAAAATAAAACGTAAAAGTAAATATTTCCATGCTTGTTCGAGTTTTAGATTTGCCGCCAATTCACAAAAACAAATGAATGCAATATACTACATTAGGTTACCAAAGAGTTCTATAATTGAAATTCAAAAAAAGTTTTCATTAGCAATGTTTCTAACTGGCCAGTTCTAAACCTTTTCAGTGTTACCTAGGTAACTAAAGAGACGATAGGATTTGAATACTGTATCCACACGGTTTAATATAAATTCCTTATTTTTGGTTACTGCCAAAAATATATTTTCTAGTCGCGTTATTTTTCCTTAGTCCTTAAAAGTAAAGTAAAAAAGTAAAAATTTTCTCCGCCACTCTTTTTAATCGCCATTTTTTTGTTTTACAAAATGTTTGTAAGGAACTGCAACCATTACACCATGTCCCATGTGACATTTTAAGTAATTAATAATAATAACATAAATTAAAAACAAAGATTTGTCCTCTATCAGCAGGAGGCATGGTGAAATAGGAGCACGCACTTACATTCTCGTGGGAACAACACACGAACACATAGTCGAAATAACCAACATCACCGCATACACGAATTCAAGTACGACCAGTCACCACAAGCAGCACCTGTTCACGAGCATGACGCATGGCCAGCCATCGGCCCCCTCGCCATATTTTAGGGAGAGAGACAACCCGACGCATGGACGCCGCCACAAGCAATGACATTTAAGCGAGCATGAAGATCCTTGAAATGTGAACTTGGCATACTTAATCATTGCCTGTATGGAAACGGACAGTGCTAAATTGTGGTCCCAGATCCAATAAAACATAACGGTCTCGGTCTGATCATCTAAGTAGTTGATAAAACATGATCCTTGAAAAAACAGATATGTAGCCGTGATTTGAGCCTTTCGGAATTAATAAATTCTTCTACTTAGGTTTTGTACCACAAGGAACGGTTGTAATAATAAGCCCTTAATACACACCTCGATTTCGATATATTCTTAACATGAAGAAAGGTACACAATTGTCTGTAAGGATAAGGATGAAATTAGTAAGGGAATAATGATAGAGGTTACTGATAATATAGCAACTAATATTTTGCCTATAAATAGTTCAAAATACGCACAGCCACTCACAAAAAAATTATAAGGGCGTAACTAATAAATAAAATTGGATAAAATTTATTCCATTTCTAAATGCGTCTAGCATAACCCAAGCGAAACAAAAAATAAGTGAATCAAACAGCTCTCAACACATCTGCTCATAGTCTAGCTGACTGATTGCAAGATAAAGAATTATATTTAAAAAAAAAGTGAATCAAGTGACAATCGCCAAAGTTTAAATATTAGGGAATAAAAAAATATATATTTCGAATAGGTGCATAAAGTAAGTAATAAATGCGGTTGGGTACAGTTAATTAATGTCAATTCAAACAAAAACAAAACACCATGCATATCTCACAATATTAAATCTAATTAAACAAATACATGCTATTCAAGTTAAAATTTCATGACTTGTTTAAAATCGATAGATTTAAGTTAATCGCTTTTTAATTTGTAGATACGACAACGTTGGTTCTTGGAAACAATACTGCGGTACTGCATTCACCTATTTGCTTAGATTCATATCTGAGGTATGCCTTATAACCTTTACAAAATGGACTGCTAGACTGAATGAGATAAAAATTTACGCATAAATAGGTTATATTTACTAGATTAGGAACTTTAGCCAAATACACCTTATTTAGGGGAAATTATTAAATTGGACCTATTGTCATTTAATACACAATGCGACTCTTATCCCTAGGGTCGTAGCTTCGATTCCCGGCTGTGCACCAATGGAATGTCTATGTGCTCATATAACACTCGCTCAGATGGTGAATCGCATCGTGAGTTACACGGGCATGCTTTAGACCCAAAAAGTAGACGGTATGTGTCAGGCACAGAAAGTTGATTACTTTACTTGCCTATTAGAAATGATCACGGAATAGATACAGAATTCTGAGCCCCAGACCTAAATGGTAGTAGGTGTAGTAAATTGATATTTTAATATGAAACGCTTTCTTTCGAAGAATCAATTTCGATGATCAAACAACATGTTCAAGAACGAACCGATTTTAAATGATTGGCTTACCATGTGCTCTTCTTGCGAGCCTGTCGACAGCCTACAACTGATATGCATCGCTTATTCATACCATGACATCGAAAAACCCAGCTGAGGTTATCAGATTACGTTCGTTCAATTTGTATGAAAATTCGGACGTAATCTAAATTTGACCGTTTAGCCGTCAAACGGTGACAAAATAACTGGTTCTGAATAAGTTACTTTTTATTAAACTAAGTTTAGAATATATATTCATTGTTTTATTTAAAACTCGCTAATAAAGTAAGATTAATATGCACTAATAACAACACAATAAGTCTAATATAGTATAATTTTTAGGTTTTGGATATGTAAGTTTAGTTTTATTTTGTGTTAATTGTGATTAAGAAGACATAATGACGGACGACAGAGAGAAGAAGAAAGACGACAGGCTCCTTCTACCGACTTCGAAGATGTTGAGTTTATAATTTACTATGGATCAACGTACCAATAGCCCATTGAAGATTTTAAAGTACCTACATACTATTGCTAAAATAAGAAGACTTAATGGCGATGGGCTGGACCCATAAGAGGAAACGTCAAATGGAATATAATTGTGACACGATGGTACCCTAAGGAAGGCAAAAGGAGTAAAGAAAGACCACAACAAGATGGAAAGACGACATCAGACAAGTGGTAGGAGTGATGTGGAATAGGTTGGAGGAGGGCTTTGCCGACTGGCAAACAGATCTGCAGAAATCAAGCAAGAACCAAATATTAGAATAGTTTTTCTTCCTTCTAATACCTAGTTTAATATAATGATCTATGTTTATGTGTGTACCTAAGTCGATCTGAATAAAATTATTATTATTACATACTATTGCACGACGTATGTTTAATTACGTATATATTCAATGAATTAGGTATAGATAGTATAACAAAAACAATAAAACAATTCATTAAAATATGATATTTTAATTTAATCTAGCAATCGCCCACGTATTTTGCAACACAAAATCAGTTGCGACGCTCCCAATTCTACATGTTACGCGCGAACTATCTCGATCGTATAGGTGTACTTGTGTGTATAGGCCTGGCTGACCTTTTTATTGGAAAATTTTCTTGTTTTCAAGTTGAATGTGTTTGATTTTCTGTACAAGAAAATAAACACTCAATAATAACATCCTAAGTTTGGCAAAGGTGCAGTTTAGATTAAGGAATCACTTCGATATACATAATAATATTTTTGAAAAAAGAAAAATAATAGTTTTTCATATTTATTCAACTTTAATTATTTCTAAAACTAAAGTAATAAAAATTACCAAGATATATTGCTAAAGGGATGGGACTCGATATCACCTAATGCCTATGAGCTGAAGTGATATCGCCGCCCATGGACATTCTCAATGACTAAGGGCTCGCGAGTGCGTTTCCGGTCTTTAAAAAATTGGTACGCTCTTTTCTTGAAGGTAAAGGCTTCCGAGACTTACGACTTTAGAAACCAGTTTGTTCCGGTACTGATCGACAGCAGCCTGAGAAATACCTGTACGGCCAGTGTAGAGTACCCCCAGTGCCATGTCATTTCTATGCAGATGTAGAACTTTTTTCATGACATGTAATGTTTAATATGAAATATTGTGCACTGAGAAAGCAAGCCTAAATGTGTAAAATATATAATATAATACGTAGACCGAAATAAATGAAGAAAAAATAATCAATTTAACATATAAAACGGATACTCATATCAATGAGAAAATCCTTTCTTATACAGAAAATTGTAATAATTCTCGGTAAATCTAGTTGTTTTAAATCTTCATGAAGGACATGCGCACTGAGGTTGTTCAATACGTAGGTAGAGTCCTACTGTGTAATAAATGTATTTTTAGCAGTTTTGTCTATTTTTCAAAATTACGTTTACCAACATAAATTTAGAAAAAATAAAGCATTCTTATTAATGTTCAACTCTGCTAAGAACTTCCATCTTCGTGTGTCCTAATTTTTTATCTCTAATACCTTCGGAAATGACTATAACCAATTACTTTCTCACCTACTTTTAGCTTCACCTTTCTTTATGCACGTTTCTTTAATTTAAATAGATGATGATACTATGCGACACCAAGCGTTTCCTAACGAAACTAATAAAACTGTTGTACAGAGTAAAGACTAGATGGCGCTACGCATGGCATAAAGAAGACTAAAAAACTCAAGTGTAATATAAACATCGCTTCTTACCATTACATGCAATGACGTTCTGTAGCTTGACCAGTGCTACTGTTTTTCTATACATTTTTGTGAATTCATTAAATAGTTAAAAATTCGTTACTCCGCATGGTATGCGAGTGTACTGTGGCCACAATACTTAAGCCAGGCCGCAAGGCAAAAAAACAACGAATTTGACAATTGACAGTTCATTACATAAAAAAATATCGAGTCCATTGTTTTAGAAAATCGATTTCAAAATGAAATTTCATAGGTCTTAGCTTTGTAATAAGGTTTATTAATAAGTCTTCTCTTTTAATACGACACGTTTTTTGAAAGTGTTTTTTTTGGTTTCGATGGTGGCTGGCGAAACTGGATTATTATAATGAAACATGACTTGCAATGGCTCCGTATACATCGGAACAAAACGAAAGTGTCTTGTAGTTGACCGTGTGTAAACTTTAGAATAATTTAGTATATTTAAAGCATTTGCGATGGCGCAAACAGTAAGACGTCCCATCGAAGCAAGGTATCCATCCTGCTATATACCAAGCAGAATACAAGAAAGAAGGGCAAAAGCAAGGGCGCTCAGGTAATTTCATATAAATAATTCTTTTGAGATCAATGACACGAATACGTGACCTCATATTTTGGTCGGGCTTCGAAGAGCCTAATATAATTTCTTGTGTCTCTTTAATGAGGATTTAAAAATGTTTCAGATAACATTTTTAAAAAATTACATTTTAATTGCTAGATCTATGTAAGGTATTGATGACAAAATTGCTTTATAATTGATCATCAGATTTTCTGGAACTTCTATAACGTATGTATGAAAATGTACCAACATATAGATTGTTAAAAATTGGATTTGATATTACATTACGGGTACAACAAATATAACATAATTTTTTTTATTTGTTTTTAAGATTGGAACAACAACGTAAACCGGAAAAGCCTGAAGATTTTGTATGCTACTCAGATAGTGATAGTGAAGAAGAAACCCCAACTGAGCAACATAAAACTCTTTGCACATCATATAACTTTGTTGACTATGTGCGTTCTAGAGAAATACAAGCTCCTGAGGTAATTTACATAAAAAATATTTTAAATTGGAAACTATTTTTAACTATGTATCACTGTTTCATTTACAAAACATTTCTTATATCATTTTATACTGGTGACTTTATACAGCTTATAATAATTAAATGCATTGATGTTTATCTTAATTGAAATTGCCTTATCCTTTCAACTATTTTGACTGTGTAAATATGATTTATCAATTATTTTCATTTCTAAATGACCACTCCAAGGATGACTTTGTCCTTTATTGACATTTGATACCAGCTATAATTGATAAAATATGATAACTTTTACATAATTTATCAAAGTTTATCTTATATGAACTAAAATTATACCTTAAAAACATTAAGTCTGCTTTTAATTATAAAACAATGCAATAGATACTTTTAATAAAATAAAAATACATTTTAGTCTTACATATTATCAATAGATCTTTATATCAACAGCCTCGATCGGTGGATCAGTCGTATGCTACGCGCCATATGCTCACGCACGACATGTTGCGTGAGACGCCAGTCAACCTTGGCACAGTGAACAAAGTGTTCTGCTCACAGTGGTTATCCGATAGACAGATTGTGTTCGGGACAAAGTGCAATAAATTGCTTGTGTATGATGTACGGTCTCGGTCACTTGACGCCATTCCGACGCTCCGTCCTCGCACGCCTTGGCCCGGCGCTGAATATCAAACTGGCATACACGCACTGCAAATAAACCCGTCTAGAACACTGTTAGCTACTGGTGCGCGTAACTCATGTGAACTGGCGATCTATCGATTACCCACTTTGGATCCTGTGTGTGTCGGAGAGGCTCATAAAGACTGGGTAACTGAATTTTTATTTATTTTTATCCTTGTAAGTAACTAGAGTCGTCTTTACAAAGCCTATATAGAATGTAGAGGTGCAAAGCAAGGAGTTTTCTAATATAAAATATTATTCCTATAGATTAAACAAATTGGTGTCTTTAAGTTTAATTTTTGCAAAAATTATTCTCCAGTTTCAGCACTTAGTATCCTGTAAGTTAAATATGAATAATATCCACTAACTGAGCTTCAAAATTTTTACAGATCCTTGACATGTGTTGGTTAGATGATGAATTCCTAGTAACAGGGTCTCGGGATTCCAAACTTGCATTGTGGCGAGCACCTGATTCACCAATTACTCAAGCTACCCCTCAACACAATTATATAGCACCACTTGTTACTAGGGAATGTAAGGCTGGTAAGCATTGGCTAATTTATTAAACACATTTAGTCTTGTTATTAAACATAGATATAAGAAGATAATACCATTCTTACATTATTCTTTTTTTCTTTAGTAAAAATAATGTGAAATGTATTCCATGTAACTCTTAGTAATTTGTTCTCTGCATTGGATGTCTAAATTCCATTTATGTCAATTAATTGAATGCAAAAAATCTAAAGCCTTAAATCTAAAGAAACAGTAAACTAATTTGTATAAATACAAGGTAATAGAATGAATTTTTGTAATGAAAAACTTGAACAGCGCTCCGTGGGCGTATTTCGAACTAAACGGACGCATGAACATCGAATAGTATTCATGTGTTCACTGGACAAATTATATGGATAATCTATGCATTCAAGCTATAGGGGATAAGGAAACTGACATTAGCCGGATAGCGTATACAAATACATTTAAGATTTTTTTAGAGTACAAGTCGCAAAACTACTTGACGCCATAAAATAAGATTACTTCCTATTTCGATTTATGTGATCGGTCGAAATCTGTATTCCAATATGGCAAAATCTCTTTAAAAGATTATCTCTCTTAAATCTCTTAACAATTCTATTAAAAAGTATAGGTTGATTTGTTACTATCGTACTATCCTGAGTATCCTATCCACAGCAAAGATTGTTAAACAATTAGTTGAAATATTATAACGGATTGATATATCAGTTCAAAAACGCTGTTTGTTCCTTTAAAGATCGTTTACAAAACAGATTAGCTAAATATTGATCGAAATATATCTTTGCAAAATTAAAAGTGAGTAGAAAAAGTGACACATTGGTGAAATCTCCTCAGGTCAGAAGGTCCGGGCGCTCACCTTCAACCGTCGTTGGCGCGAGATCGCCGCGCTGACCCTCAACGGGTACATCCATGTGTTCAATGCAGCGACCTTCAGACAAACCCTTTCACGAAAGTTACCTTCTTGTCAGGACCTCGTTTGCCTCGCCACACAAGTAAGAGATAAATAACAAATTATCTTGCAGAGCATCGAAACTAATAATCTAAACCAGTATTTTCATAAAAAAGATATATTTTTTTCATATTTTCTATGATATCCGCACAGCATTTTTATGCATTTGCAAAATTTATATTTTTATTACATCTAATGCGTGGCCAAATTTATGCGCATACTATTACGCGTGCACCATTGGTATGCTTTCTATAAAGCGCATGTAAATCAAAGCAGTCTTATTATTTTACATTTTAAGTAAAGAAATTACGATACTACTATCGATTTAATCAAAAATTTTAAAAAGTTGTCTATCAATTGAAAATAAAAAAATATCGGTATAATTAATAATGAAGATAGATGTAGAAGTTCAGACTGTTCCCGAAGTTGAACTATACCTGATTTAAAAACATCAGAATTGAGAATACTACTTCCGATTGTGTCAATAACAACGCCCCTTTGTTTGGCCAGATACAATCCTCGTTTTTTTCTTTTTTAAATTCCACTTTAGATAAAAGTATTTTAAAATTTTAGGAAAGCGGTATATACGCGATCGGTTGTAAGTCGTACACGTTACTTCTGGATTGCCGGACGCTACAGTCTGTTAAGAAGATAACGTCTCGTTACAACGGTTGTGGGATACGATCGGCGACGTTCCGTGGTGACCTACTCACTATTGGTACTGGACTCGGTGAGCAAGCCACGCTTTATTTAATCTAGTTTTAACACAGACATCATAAAAATAGAACTTACAAAAATTATATTTGTTACTATAAAAGATGGATTAAATATACGTGTTACCATGGCAACAACGTTTGCATGCAAAATTAATAGCAATTATGGTATTATACGGCCGTTCGTATTTGTAGTCTACATATATTGACATATTTGCAGGTCTCCTCATGTTCTACGACCTTAGAGCCGGCAAATACCTCGAGAGCAATATACATTCAACAAAAACTGTAGCACTAAGGGCTTCCAGAGGGTATGTGTTCCCGGACGAAGGAGTGGACGGATACCAACAAGTGAAATATGTACCGGCCATTTATACACATTGCTATGACGATAGTGGTACGAGAATATTCACAGCCGGTGGGCCTTTACCTGCCCCTCTTATAGGGAACTACGCTGGCATATGGCAATAACATTATTAGTATAAACAAATATTGTTGAATGGGACTGATAATCTGACTAATAAATACTAGGCCAAAATACAGTGCCAGGCGTTAGTATAAAACTATATGAACCAAGCGTTCACGGGAAGCAATATATTTTTGGTGGTGACGCCAAATTGTGTGTACCTTTTATAAAATTGAAGACTCAGCTGGTACAGCAATGTAAAGTTGCAACAAATCGACACAAACTTAATATGTAATCTTTAAAACTTCCTCTCATAATGTTGTTTTTCATAACCAATTTAGACCACATCAAAAATAATTTGACAATTATATGAGTTACTTACAATACATGCAATTAAAACTGTGTCAGAGTTAAGAATAAGTGGCAAACGGAATTTAAAAAGTAAACTCTAAGCCAAAGCTTTGCCTAAAAATTGGATTTTTCAAATTTTTGTTCTTGTAATTACTTTCAACAAGATATTGTAGTGTATATTAACCAGAAAATAAATTTGAGGAATAATTACAGTGGAAATACCCTAAATTAAAATTATTAATTACTAAATGAACATAGAGATTTTATTGTATTTATCAAGTGTTAAACAACCTCTTCAACAATCAAATGAGACTCAGTTGTGCAATAAAACCCTTATTGAAGTTGTGGTAAACAAGTTCAATCTATTTAAAAGTATGCAACTAAAAGGCCATATTACCTCAACTTGATGTTGTAGACTTAGAGAGCTGAAAGTCCAAAAAGTCCAAATGCATATAAACATAGCAGTATTTTCTTTAGCAGTTTTATTAACCATTAAAACCTTTAAAAAAATTGCGCTATGTTAATGCGTATTTTTGCAGGACAGGACATTTAATAATTACACATATAGAAATTAATTTAAAGTATGTGATTTGAAGCAAAAGATATATGTCAAGAGTTTTTATAAATCTCTAGCATAAGGTATGGGATTGAGATGGATTCTATTAAGAAGTTAAGTTAATATGTATTAATTCAAAATTTTATTTAAAAAGATGTAACATTGACATCCAGACTGCTAAAAACATGGTTATTTCTCGATCAACACATGTCAGAAAAACATTATTTTTCTAGGATTAAAGTGTTTTTATCTGTGTATAAAAAAATTGACGCATTTAATTTTTAGCTATGAAATAATTTATAGAATGGAATATTGAATGTGTTGGTGTGTTTTTACAAATATTTCTTAAAAAATTGATATTGAAATACGATTTTGTTGTTTTAATTTGAACCCTGATTCGGAGGTATATTTTGCATAATTTAAGAAGTCTTAGGAAAAATATATTATTTTCAAAAAACATTCATCATCTAATCAGTGGTAACAGTTGATGTCTAAATGACGGACAGAAATATTGGTAATGAAACACGATTTTTATAATAAAAATTCTTTAAAGCAGTACAAATATAATGTTATTAAATGTACAAAAAGCAATTCAATTGTTGACAACCCAACCAATAGGTAATGTACTTCCATCACTACTTATGTATGCATCCCATTGTTTCCTGAAACAAACATCAAATTAATTTACAAAGGAGTAAGCCATATTTCTAATGTTTTTATGGTTATTAACATTAACCAAAACCCAACTACATTTTATGTGCCAATTGTACTTAGTGGTTCTAATCACAAAGGTGTAGTAAATTGATTACTTAATAAGGCATATTAGGAAGACCTAATATATAATGAAATACTGAAAATTCTGTAGATACAAATTAACTAGAAACTGTTGAGTCAATTAAACTCACCGCACAGCAATAAATCTTTCAACATTTCCCCCAAAATTAACTTGTGGGTTGATCCCTCCAAAGAGAACCTCTCTCCACTCATCTAAGATATTGTCAATATTTGCGGTTTCATTTAACGGTTCGTCTTTTGTAGATGTAAGTTGGCTTTGAAGAGTGCTTTCTTCTTCATTATAGATCTCTAGTCTTTGAGTCCATAATGACTTCAGTTTTTCTGAAATTATACATTAGGAAATGTTATGTTGTTTCTACCATACTATTAGTCTGAAATGTTAGTTTCTGTCTGAATATTCACCAATGGTTCATTCCTATATTAATTCATAATAAAGTACATACCAATATTTAAAAATCTATTGAATAATTTCTGTTATGGACCACACTACAAAAACCTTTCTCAACAGTCTAGTGGACTTTTTGGTTGTCACTATTTGAAAAAACAGTTTAATTTTCACTTAAACTATTGATATGTACTATGCAACATTTTAATTCAAAATTTAATGTGTTTTTATTTATTTATTAAAGACATATAATATGTCTTTATATATAAAGCTGGTATACATCTAAATTTACTATTTAAAAACCACGTTGGTTTTTCATGACAGTGACTTATTATAAACATGTTGCAATGTTGCATGCATATTTTTGTTAACACCGCTTATGATTTATGCTGCAATTAGAAATGTATCTATATATATAATATAGAAATGTATATATGTTATGTTGTCTTTGTGGACCACAAGTAATTCTTACCAATATTCTTTTCAAACAAAATAGTATCTGCTTCTGAAATATTGTGACCTCTGCCTTTAGCTGTGTTTTGCCTTGCTTGACGCAATTTTAACAGGGCTTCTAACTTGTTTAAGCATTTTTTTGCATCATTCTTTTTCCTCTGAACATCTTTAAGAACCAGGTCTGCATTTACTTTGGCCTCTTCTTTCTATAAAATTAAAACCAAAATTGTTCACCTGATAACTTAAATCTGATATGAATGAGATAAATTTAACTAATAAATTGTAGTTTATGATCTTGATGATCAGGAATTATAATATATCTTAAAAATAAAATAATTTAAATACCTTCTTTTGTTTGAGATTATAATCTTTAATTTTTTGCAGGTTCTCATCAATTTTACTAGACTTTTCTTTCATTTCCTTCAACCACTCTAATTTTTGTTGTTTTCTTTTATTATTCAATCTTTTCAGTCGAAGCCTCTTTGCTGTTCTTTTTGCTAGATATTTTCTAGCTTGTTCCATATATGAGCCATTAAAGTCTTCTATACTTTTTTTAATCTCTTCTTTCTTACAAGCCACATCACTCATTATAGATGTCCACTCAATATTGGTGAAGTTATTAATATTTTTTGATAATTTCTCGTATTGCATAGTTAATTCTCTATGGCTTGTTAGAAGACTCATTAGTTTTGCTTTTAATTTTGTAATTGTGATATTTGGCTTAATTTTAGGTAAGCTTTCATTTAAGTTTCTTTCGAAAGTTTTGAGAAAATCTTGATCTGATATTTGTGAAATTGGGGCATAAGAAGGGTGTAATGCTGGTGGAGGAGGTATTGGGAAAGACAAAGGGTTATGACATTGGAATGTAAAATTATTTTCTTGAAAATTGTTATAAAAGTTTTGATTATAAGCCATGATTGTTTATAATAAATGTTAAAGTTATTTATAAAGTAAAATTAAACTGGTTCAGGCAGTTGAGCCTCAGCGTCCTTTAAGACCTGCTGAGCAGTTATATAGTCTTCGTTTTCATTCAGATCTGCCTCTGATTCTAATGTTGTTTTTAAATCAGCAAAAGCTTTTACTAGTCTGAAAAAATTAATGAATTTATTTATTGACATGTTTTACTGTACTCATTGCGAAAATATTATTATTTTCAATCAACACCGTATTTTTGGACACTTGCAAAGACATGTGGCGAGATATAATTGCCGCAGAAATAAACCTAACCTTAAAACACCTGTGTAAATAAGTGGAACTTAAAGAAAATATGTAACTATATTTATCCCAAGGAATATTTTTTCAACTTGTTTGGTAGTGTAACTTGTGATAATAAATATTACTTACCGTCTCTGACAGTCTGGGACCATCATAAGAGACTCCTGCAAGACTTCCTCTTGCTTCCTAATGTTATGTTCGTCTTGGCCCTCGTCTTTTATTTTTTGTATTTTATTCTTTTGCTGCTCCGCTTCCTTTTCGTATGCTACCTTTTCTTTAGCAATGCGTTTAACAACGCCTGTTTTTATTTTTATTTGCCTTATGCGAGGATCCGCCATTGTTTTCTTACGCGCGCTTCTTTTTTTGTATTCTATTTGAAGTGTACCTATATATATATTATATACAGTACAGAAGATTCTAATAAATTTTATAACAGGTTGGTGAATATACAATATCTACTCTGCAGTCTGCGGTATTAAACGTCAATAATTGTCAAAGGGCAAGTTCATATTTAACAATTGACACTTAACTGACAGCGGCAGTTGGCAGATCCACAGCAAGGTGATAGGTATGTTCCCGCGCGCAATGGGGACCCGTCATGGTTTTATGTTATAAATGCAGTTTTATAGTCCTTGAGAAACAAAAACATAAAGTGCAAAAATTTTTGTTCTACGACCAAAACTGACAAAGTTATGGGCAAAATACCGAACAAGGTTTACTGACCGCACGAATGCAAACGATGACGTCACAAGATCTCAACGCTTGCCGCCGACGGCCGAACCACAGCGCGCCCCGCGCTGTTTATTCTGTTTGAGATACTCGTCCAACACGGAGCGTAACGACACCGGTTTATACCCAATCGATTAATAAGTGATTTGATTTGTTTAATATTAGAAGGTTGTTATTATAATATAACAAATGAGTGGTAGAAATAAGGTATGTAGATATGGAGGTATGTTTGACGACTCTGGTCTAGTGGTTAGTACCCCTGACTGCGAATCCATGGTCGGGGTTCGTCCCCGGCTGAGACGAACATCGATGTGATGAGGATGAGCTTGTGTGTGCTTAGGCTTGGGTGTTTAAATATGTATTTATGTGTCTATCTATCTATAATATGTATGTATATCCGTTGCCTAGTACCCATAACAAAGCTTCACCAGCTTAGCATGGGACTCTGTCAATTGGTGTGAATTGTCTTTAAAAAAAAAGTGTAGATATCGATTTTGAGCAAGCGTAATCCGATAATCTACCTAAAGTTGATACCTTCATGGTATTTGATTATCTTAGTAATCATTTAAACTACACAATCGCTGAAATTCGTGGTTGGAAACTTCAGAGGTAAGCAAATCTCATTATCAACCTAATCAAAACAGCAGGATAATAAGTAGGTAGGTACACATACTTGGACTGGCCTATAAATTACCCAGAAGTTTTAGGTTAGTCAGCCAGGGCAGTTGTGTTTGTTGTTTAATTACCTACGCCGTTATTTTCAACAATAAAGGGTAAAGCTGCACATTTACTTGTGATGAAACACAAGGAATAATACTAAACATTGAGTGTCATGATTGTGCTGCTCAACTGGGAGGTTGTAAGTACGGTGTAGCATTTCTTATGTGGCTTCACAGACGAAGCGAGGAACCATCCCCAACAGAAAAAAAATGTTATTGGGCTAATAAATACTTTTAAATAAACAGTCCTGCAAATTGACAATACCACAGGCTATTGCCACTATATCATCCAATAGTTGAATATAAGAAATGTTGACAGTTGGTCCAACCATTTGAAAGTCTCTTAATCTTCAAATGCTTCTTTCAACATGTACCCTCAAGGCAGCAATCTTCTTTGTTTGCAACACTTCCTCTTTTTTGGGTTTTGAGCTTGAATTCACACTAGGTGGTCTTAAAAGCTTACACTGTTTTTGTTCTAATAAATGGGCTATATTTTTGAATCCTCTGACCGCCAAAACCAAACTCCCAGGTGTGAGTTCATCTAAAAACCCACAGTCTTCAAAGATCGTGGAATCTGGGGTCCTCCCTCCATACCCCTCAGAAATAAAATTAATCATTCCATCAGGTGTAATGGAAATCAGAAATTTAATGGTGTTGCAATTTTTGTATTGCGACCAAGTTAATGCCTGGTGTGTGGCATTACTTGGTTTTTGAATTTGCACCTCGAAACAATCAATTATTGAGGTCACTTTTACTAAGTTACTGTTTACCACATGAGTAATGATGATAATAGTTGGTATATACATACATCAAAATGATCCTCGCAACAATATCTTACAGTGTGGCACGAAAGCGGAACTTTGTCATCCCTCTTCATGACAGTACACCATTTTTTGCGCATTAAAAGACACATTAAAAGACACCCTTGGCACATTAAAAGACAGTTTTTCAGGTTACTAGTTGAAGTATTAGTACATTTTGGTACTATACAGTACTTATAATGCGGCATATTTTCACATAAAAACCACAAAACCACCACACGACCCGTGCATATCGAGTAAACTTTAATAAATGAATGGTGGAGACTGGAGAGCGAGAGCGCGGGCAGGGATATCGTGACGTCACATGAGCATTTCGGCCGCCCCGCGGTTGGCTTGTACAAAATGTTTAATATCTTCGTAACCAATTTACCGATTTCAATGATTTAAAAAGTATTGTACCTAATCCAGTAAAAGGAACACCATTATATAAATAATATATGCATTTTCCGACTTGATACGGGGACCCATTGGACTTGATAGTTTTTGATACCAAATTCCAAAGACAATTAAACTAAATTAATTATTGTCCCACTTAATTTGTCTTTGATACTTCTAAGTAGTGTTTATTCTAATGCTATTTTTTACTAGATTGGCTATGACAACAAATGTTGAATTATTTAATTCTTTATATAGAGATAAGGGACTATCCATAAATTACGTGAGGTGTTTTTTTAAATTTTCTGTGACTCCCTCCCCCTGCAGGGGCCTGGTGAGATGTCGTAAGATTTTATTCACCCCTCCCCACCCCCAATCTCACGTGAGATTTTTCAAAATGTGGGTTCCTTACGTAAACGCGGTGGATTGTTATTGTTTTTTTTTTTTTTTGACAATTCACACCAATTGATCTAGTCCCATTCTAAGTGGTGAAGCTTGTGTTATGGGTACTAGGCAACGGATATACATACATATTATAGATAGATAGACATATAAATACATATTTGAAACCCAAGACCTAAGCACAACACCAAATGCTCATCACAAATGTCTCGGGGATCGAACCCGGGACCCATGGATACGCAGTCAGGGGTTCTAACCACTAGACCAATGAGTCGTCATGTAAAAATCGTCGTATTGTAAAAAGAAAGAAAAATTTGCTTCGTGCTTTTATTTACGACTAAAACAAATTAAGTGAAATGTTGAGCGTTTAGGTATGGAGTTAGCGGGAATTTGCCTTTAGGATCAACCGTTTTCCTAAAAAAAAATTTCAACCAGAAAAAAATTACGTGATATTTGGAGACCCCCCTCTCTCCAACGTAAGATTTGAGATTTGATTCGACCCCCCTTAAATACCTCACGTAATTTATGGACGCCCCCACTGTAGTAATTAATAATTAGTGCTACTCTCCAGAGCTTCAGCCTTGAGCCTTAATATCTTATTAATTGCAGTGCGTACCCATTAAAGACTCCACATCCTAGTTTAAGTTTATGCAAATTGTTTTTTTTACACACGCCTTATAGGCTAAGATAGAAATTAATACATGTATAAACTCTCCGGGAATTATGAGAATTAAAATCATTGATCACTCATATAAAAAATAACCATATCTAAAATAGGTATTACGTTTTTATATTATTAACACAATGTTTGATTTTTTTCGTGAGATGTCATTTGTTTCTTATATAATTGTAATCACTGGATGAGGATGCAAACACTTGAAATTGACGTAATCTTATCGCAAGATGAAAATAGTAAAAGATCCATGTAAAAATATAAATGATAATTATAATAAATAATAAATCCTCCGTTTCTTGACAATACTACCAATCTTATAAACACGTTAATAACTTCCAAATTATTTAAATTTTTAAATTGTTAAACGACACAACTTATTTATAAAATATATCACAAGTTTATATAAGTTAGAATTCTTGTATATATAGCAAAGCTCGAATCGGTCGAGGTCGCCAGGTATTTTCCGTTAATATATTGTTTGTTATCAAAAAGGGTGCGATTTTCTTAAACTAGGATAAGAGATGAGATATAAAGTCAATGTAGAGTCAGATAAGGCATGATACCGAGAAATAATAAATTGATCCCTACAGATGTGAATAGATCATATCTTAACAAAACCAAAATGAAGTGGCTTGTCTTGTTGGCAGGTGAGTAATATATTACTTAACAGAAATCGAATTTCTTATAATATTATATAAGAATATTCAACTCTTACCTTTAATTTAATTTAATAATTATTTAAATAGAAACAGTTTTACATTATCACCATTATATTTTTTAATCAATTTATATGACTACCTTTAATCGAATCTTAGCTCTATTTGGCAATATTGTTTCTAGGGCTTTAATAAACGTTTTCTATAATCTTACTCTTTTATCTATAATAATAGTAAGTGTACGGCAGGTCCTCTAAAATTTTCGCTGTTTAATTTGCGTCATAGAATTTGATTAATTAAACGAGATTTTTGATTCTCTTATACAGATATATATTGCATTTAGCTAATGCCGAGTCTTTATTGTCGTCGGATGTATTAAGTAACTTACGTGCGTATAGAATCATTAGCAAAAATAGCATTTGTAACTAGTATGATTTAGTACTACTTCTGTTTACAACTTTGTTAAACAAGATTTAATAGAAATTTCTTCGTGATTAGGCCTTTCAGTAGTACTGGGTGCTGCACCCAGAACAACGGTCTTGCGAGATTTCTCAGTTGAAGATAGCGACGATGGTGGCAAATTTTTTGTCGCGAAGCTAAATAGCGGTAAGTTTATTATAAATTAGTAATAAATAAAACTTTATTCATGACAGAAATATGGTTGTGACAAATTGATCTAACGCTAGTCCCCACTTTAGGGAGCCCCTGTGTTGTGGGTAACTTTAGATAACAATTATTCCGTTGTACATGGTGCATGTTTAAAACATTTTTTTAAAGAAAAAGAAGCCTTAGTGTTACATTTAATAAAACAAAATTCGTATAAGACCTTAAGTGTGAATGTATGACTAGTTGAATGAGTGTGTGTGCGTATAATTATATTTAGTAATACATTTTATGATTAATATTAATCAAGTCAATAATCGTAGTTTAAAACAATGGGATGGTTCATCGTGTAATTGAGGATGCCATCGAGGCTTTCTGGAAAATTTATTTAATATTTTTATTTATTTACAATTAAAAAATACGTATTAGATTTATATTTATACTAAAGGCATATACAGGGTGGCCAAAAAGTCGTGGATCAAACGCAAATAGGGGATAGATGGTCATCAGCTGCAAAAATTTGTTCTACGGGAGGTCTCTAAACTCAACCCATGCCGAGTTATAATTTATTTTGCGTTTTATAAGAAAATTGACTTTTTTTTACTAATTCTTATTAAAATTGGAAAAAATCTACATCCTGTATCTTTTTCATAATATCTACTAGATTGGCACTGATGAGTTCTTGCGTAAGCCATACTAATTAAAATTGTTTATTGAGTGTATTGAAGATAATATTAAGTTATACGATATAATTTTTTTTTTATACGATATAAACTTTTTGTTTACTTCGGCCCCCACTGTGAAAAAAAATTACTCTACCGGAAAGTGACCCTGTATTACAAGGTTTGCCACAATTAATAGGATTCTAAAAAGGTATTACACATGGCCATGAGTCGCTCATATCTTTCTAATATGAGCGACTCATAAATATAATATAATATCTAATAATGAAACTTTTACAGCTACGAAAGAAGATTTCGTTGGGCACATTGGACGCCAGGTTTCCGGTGATGATGATGATGTTTCTTTTGATATGACGTCAGAGTATCACGAAGATGTGAATGGTTACAAGGTGTCCATTTCCTGGGATGGACCGAGTAACAAAGTCTTTGAAGATTGCTTTGAATTTGGTATGCTTTCTCCTTTATTAAATTCAAATATAAATATTCTGGATAGTTTATTTTATCGTAGTATTAATTTCTTTTAAAATATCTAGGAAAAACAAATCGTGATCCAATAGGTCTGTAATTCAATCATTTTCCATAGGATCTTCACAATGGTTCGGAGGACCAGAACAAAAAGAGCAATATTGGCCTATACAAAAATCAAAACTTGAAAATTACTCCATAATTTCAAAAGAATTAGACAACTCCGCGGTGGCGGAGAGATATTGGCTGAATTCTAACGGTATATATATTTATGTCCACCCCGAAGCCCCACTGTTTGTCGACTATCACAACATCTTGGACAACCACATATGTTTAATCGCTAACGTAGCTGACCCCTACTCCACGAGGAGAACTCACAACGTCCTTAAATACGATATATGGTTCTTTTCGGACGCCAAAGTTGCCCACCAACATGCTGTTGACACGTATTTGGGAAAGCCTTCAGGCATCCCGGACTACAGAATGATTCAGTACCCAATCTGGTCTACTTGGGCAAGGTATTCCAGAGAGATCGATCAGGAAAACCTATGGGCTTTCGCCAATGAGATCAAGGATAGTGGCTTCCCAAATGCCCAGTTTGAGATTGACGATTTGTGGGAGATTTGCTATGGTTCTCTTACTGTCGATGAGAGAAAGTTGCCGAATTTGAAACAGTTGGTACAAGATATTAAGGGACTTGGATTTAGAGTTGCAATCTGGGTTCATCCGTTTATCAACAAGGATTGTGAGCCTTGGTACTCTGAAGCTTTAGGAAAAGGGTAAGATCTCATTCATTCTTAGAGATTCCTTCTTTCTACTCTTACGTCTGTACATAAAAAGAGTCCCTCTAAAAATTGTGGTCACTACCTGATAGAAGATAGAAGAACATAATAAGCATAATATTAAATTATTTGAACGAATTCTATTTATAGTATTGTCTTTGATTTACATAACCTTTACACATTTAAAGAAAAAACTGTTTGACCGGATTGAAGTTATGTATTATTATAAATTTACAACTATTTAACATAATTTTAAATTTATCCGACGTTTCGCGTGCTTTACAGCGTGCGTGGTCACGGTGACCCTTCAATCCGGTCAAACAGTTTTTTTTTTTTTTTTGCGAAATTAATAATAAAACTCTAAAACACAATATTTTTGTGTTTATTACAATAAAGACAATTTGCAGCTACTTGGTTCTCAATGAAGAAGGTAGTCCTGACTCCTCGTGGTGGAACAACAATGGATCCATTCCTGGTTACATCGACTTTACAAACCCTGAGGCATCTGCATGGTACACATCTAGGGTCCAAGAAATTATTGACACCTACGATATTGACACTTTAAAATTCGATGCCGGAGAATCGAGCTGGTCTCCACAGGTATACAATATTATTCTGAACCCTATGAATGTTAAGACAGCTTTTTAATAATCTGTGTGGATTTGAATACTCCTGATTCAAATTGGATTATTTAAAATAAAATAAACTTTTGTATCCCAAATCAGATCCCAGTCCAAAATGGCGACATTGATCTTCACCCAGGTCACATCGTTCAGTCCTATGTGCGGGCTGTGGCTGAGTTTGGATCTATGATCGAAGTTAGGTCTGGAATGAGGTGCGTATACCCTTATCAGCCACTTGGTAGACCTTGAACTGATGAACTTTCCCTATGTGTTATCATATTCTTAATTTCTTCCGACTTTTTACATAATTTACCCATCATACAACGACAGTGCGATTTATGCACTTTAAGGTATTTCCGAATCAGTTTAGCTTAAGTTCTTTCAAACTAGCCAATTACTTAAAGGTTGGTAACGTACCCGCGAGCCCTCTGGCCTAATGTGACAGTATCACGAAGACGTTATCGCTTGACATCAGGAGTTTTGCACTATAAAAAAGATATTACAATCTTGATTTTGTTTAAAGAAGTTAATTGATAAGTTTAAAGTTGCTTTGGCTGAAACTTGTTAAAAGTCTAGTAAATATGAAAATTTCTTTAGAACCCAGGATCTACCCGTATTCGTTCGTATGGTTGACAAAGACACGTACTGGGGCTTTAACAATGGCCTCCAGACCATGATACCGACCCTCTTAGCCATGAACTTGAATGGCTACACCCTGGTTCTGCCAGATATGATTGGAGGCAACGGTTACAATGAGAAACCAAGCAAGGAACTGTTCGTGAGGTGGCTCCAAGTCAACGTGTTCATGCCGACTTTACAATACTCCTTTGTGCCTTGGGATCATGATGACGAGGTATTTAATTCATATCAATTGCTTAAACCAGACTATTTAGCACTTAATAGAAAAAAAACAATTGTATTGTTCGCCCAATCGAGGTAAGGTTTTAATTCAATAGTTTGTATTTTGTTTCACTATCATAGACCATCATTACAAAGTATATATCTCTTTCTAATTTTTCATGATAAAATATATGCCTTAATTTACATAGCTATAAAACCACATACCAAAATTCTTCATAATCGCTTCCGAAATTAAAAATATAAATAAATTAAAAATATAATAAAATAAAATTTTCTAATATTGTTGTCATACATGACAGAAGGGTTTGATTCCTGGCGACACAATAATTGTTTTGAGTCAAGCAATCTGGCCTTTAAAATCAATGATAAAAATGAATATGCCCTATGCCCTTTTGACGGATGGTCGGAATAGAAACACACATACTATGCTAATTACAAAAGCTCTGTATTTAAGTTAAAATAAATAAATCGTTGTCAGGCTGTGGAAATTTGCCGGAAATACACACAAATTCACGCTGATTATGCTGACGAGATCGTCGCGGCCATGGAAGCCTCCGTGAAGGTCGGCACTCCCGTCAACCCTCCCATCTGGTGGTTGGATCCAACTGATGAACAGGCTCTTGCAGTGTGGGACGGTTCGTACTTGCGCTATACAAACGAAAAAATTATCTTAAATAATTATTAATGAATTCTTTTGCAGTGATGTCTTTCCTTTATTAAATTATCAAAACGAGAACATCGATATACTTATGCGTATATAATTTCCTTTCTTAGCAATAATTATTCGTATTTGGCGAATTCCAGTTTTTGACAGGCCAATAATATTTTTCCATACAATTTGTGTACTTACTTAGTTTTACAACACCAAATCCATTCGATACTTGTTTTTCATGCAAGCGTCTATCGTTGCTATTAGGATATCTATTAATTTATATTAAGAATAAAATATAAATTCCCGTTAATAGAGTAAAGGGGAATAAGCATTAAGGAATACATAGCGACATCTTCGGTTAAAATAAACTACTACGAACTTATACCCTAAATACATTAAATATACAAGTACCCAACCTTCGCTATTAGGGCCTTCAGGCCAGTCAGTTAGATTGGTCCGCTGTGTACACATCTTTTCAAGTACAATTAAAACTGTCTAATTGCAGAGTTCCTTCTGGGCGAGCGGATACTAGCTGCCCCAGTTGTGGAAGAAGGTGCCGTGTCACGTGACATTTACCTCCCACGGGGTACATGGAAAGATGGCAACACTGGTGACATCTACACTGGACCCACGACGCTGACAGCCTACCCAGCGCCATTGGATATCCTTCCTTACTTCATCTTAGAAGAATAAATTTAATTATATTAAGTCAAAATAAATGTTACATTCTACTATTTTGTTTTAAATGTGATAACGTTCCTTTTTTATTAATTACCTACGTTTTAAAACCTCGCTACACATTTAAATTATCTATCTGTACCTAAATACATAAATATAACTATAAATGTTTAACTAGTATGTAACCAGTAACTTGAGATATGTGTGTGTGTTACGGACAACGAACAATACAGTTTAGAAAGCCGACGAACGAAGCTGCCAGCCAGATGTTCTTCTAGGAAACGGTCGGCGGGACGCAGGTAGCGGAAGGGCCGGTCGGTCCCTTTGACCAGCATGGTAGTTTTAGGTTTAGTTTTAAGCTATTATTTGTATAACGACCAGATAGATTTACGCAGCCGTGCCGGACGGACGTTAGTTATAAGCTCGCTTCGCTGTATTATTTTGTGTCACCATCACTAACGTTCGACCAATAAGCGGTAACTTATAACTCCACTCTGAGTTTCATTTCGAGAATAGCGGCGGTGGTTCAGATCGACATCGTACGCTTATAGTTTGGTCCTTCGAGCCGGATAACCAGAAGAATATTACTCTACGCATTGACGCCGAGAAGAAGGAAGATTTTACCTGCGATCCCAGGAAGATTTTCATCGGCAGTACTACCTGCGATCCCAGGAGTACGTGCAGAGGGTTGACTTCATAGCCTGTACAAAGTGACTCGCCGTATCGACGTATTGCTGCTGTGGGTCACTGAAGGAAAGCATTATCCACCAGTTCATGGAAGCGAAGAATACAATCGACTTCAAAATGAACACAAGAAGCCAAGCTAAGAGGGCAGAAGAAATCGATGAAGATGTACGGACAGAATACATGCCGTTAGAATCACCATCGAAAGTACTACAACGAAGACTAGCCGATATTACACACGACAGGGAGTCAGTTGAATCAATACGGAGGAATGAAGCCGTTGATTCAACGTTGTTACCTGTGGGTTCAGCATCACAGACCTCAAGAAATACAATGAGGTCGAAAGCATCCCGTGTAAGGCAAGCTGAATACGAAGTCCAAAAACGCTTGGTCGCATTAGAAAAAGAACATTTAAGAAAAAAGTTCGAATTAAAGAAGCAGGAGATGGAACAAGAGATGGAGCTTGAAATGAAATTGTTAAAGAAGCGAATCGCTGTTGACTTACCCAGAGCAGACGACGAAGAGAGTATCGTCGAATGCATGCCAGAACAGCGGAACGGAAACAACTCCGCTGCTATGGTAGATAGATGGCTAAGAAGTCATAGCGGCGTGAATAATCTATCTCAAGGTGACAGGGAAGAAGACACAGCACTCCCAGAACGCGTGGAGCCATTGAAACACAATGTGTCTTGGGAAAAAGAACGGCCCATATCACCTATCGAAGAGGCCTCCGTGCCGAGAACGCGATCCCATGATCAAGGGATGGAACGGCTCATCGGAGCCTTTGAAAAAATAGCTACAAACAGACCCCCTGTACGACATGCTCAAGATCTGCCGCAGTTTAACGGGAACGTCTGCGACTGGCTTTACTTTAAAGTTGCTTATGAAGACTCCACGAAGCTCTACAAATACTCTAAAGCGGAAAACATGGCAAGATTACGCACATGTCTTACGGGAGCCGCTAAAGAAACAGTCGCCGTATTATTGAGTACTGCTTGCGATCCCGAGCTTATTATGAATGCACTAGATCAGTGTTATGGTCGACCGGAGATTATAATTGATAAAGCACTGGAAGAAATAAGGCGATTACCCAGACCGGGATATACAGCGGTTGAATTTAACCAGTTTGCAATAAAAGTGCAAAACATCGCGTGGCTATTGAAAAGTGTAAACGATCGTAGCTACACGAGTAACGGGGCCTTAGTCCGAGAAATAGTGTCTAAACTTAACCTGCACTATCAGGCTAGATGGACGGACTACGGTAAGGCTAATAGTAATGAGAAAGAACCAATTCTCATTACGCTCTCAAAATACCTCTTAGAAGAAGCGAGCTTACAACTCACTTTCAACTATAGCCGTAAAATAGAAACAGCGACATCGCTAGGTACAAGTAAACCTAGATCAAAAACGAATGAGCGCGTTTACTCAACACAGAAGAAACTCAGATGCCTATGCTGTAACGGCAACCATCATGCAACTCATTGTGAAGAGTTTTTGAAAATGAATCTTAATCAACGATGGGATAGATTGAGAGAAACGAAGGCATGTTTTTTGTGCCTAGAAGAATATCACCGACGATCACAGTGCAGGAAAAAGCGATGTGGCATTGATGGGTGTGAAAAAGCGCACCATATGTTGTTGGATTGGGTAGTACACAAGCCACAACAACAACCATTGTTGGTGCAACCATCAACATCAAACTCAGAGGCTGAAGTTGTTATGTCGACCTCTGTGACGGCGAAGGATGAATGTCAAGCCGTCTTACTGAAAGTATGTCCCGTAACTGTAAGAGGCCGAAATGGAAAGGTTGTAAAAACTCATGCCCTATTAGACGAAGGGTCGACTATTACAATTATCGAGGAAAAGTTAGCCCTCGAATTAGGTGTGAGCGGGCCAAACAAGCCGCTGAAAATTCAAGGAGTTAGTTCTCAAACGAAAGATTTTGAGAGCCAACACGTCAAAATTGACATCAGTCGCTACGACGGAGGGGCTAATTACACTTTGAAAGCGCGAACGATGCGTGATTTCGACATTGGTAGCCAAAGAATTAACGCGGATAATTTGCGCTACAAACACTTGGTTAAGTTACCACTCCAACAAATGATTGGCGAAGCTAAACCACAATTATTAATTGGAGCAGACAATTGGCATCTCATCGTTTCCAGAAAAGTATACAGTGGGAAGAAAAATGAACCGGCTGCATCTTTAACCCGATTAGGCTGGATTTTACATGGTACAGCACCTATACGAAGTTTAATGGAAGACAACAAACGTGTTTTGCACTGCATAAAAAAGGCGGCAGAATGCGACGTTTACAAAGAAACAATAGATGAGCGTCTAGAGGCGATATTAAAACAAAGTTTTGCAATAGATGTCTTGGGTATAAATAATAAAAAAAGGTTAACAAGTGCCGACGCACGTGCATTTCAATTGTTCAATACAAAAATAGAGAAACGGGAAAGGCGTTACTACCTGGGGTTGCCGTGGAAGACTGATAACACGAAATTCCCAGAAAGCTATAATATGGCATTTAATCGGCTTAAAAGCATTGAACGGAAAATGGATAAGTCGTATGAGTTTAAAAAGTCGGTGTCTCAGTTAGAAACTGTACAAACACTGTCTTCAGTTGTACCTAGATGGTATATTTACACGAGGGGAGGAGAGATACAATTGCATGTGTTCTGTGACGCATCTGAACAAGCACATGCGAGTGTGGCACATTGGCGAATTAAAACCGATGTAATTGACGACAGGTTCATCACAGCAAAAGCACGGGTGGCATCTATTAAGTCACAGAGTAAACAGCGGCAAGAGCTACAGGCAGCCCTTATCGGAGCGAGATTAGCTGTGGCTATTAGAGAAGGTCACAGAATTGAACCAATCAAGATCGTGCTATGGATGGATTCAACGATGGTATTGCAGTGGATCAGAAATGACAAAGCGAGGCATCCACCATTCGTAGGCCCAGCGTTCCTTTACGGCCCTGAAGAAACATGGCCAATAGCAAGCTTCGAGCCACAAGCGCTGACTTTGACCGTAGTCGTAAGGAGAGCCAACAGAAACGATACAGATATAGAAAAATTCTCGCAGTATGAACGGCTGATTAGAGCCACAGCTTACGTACAACTATTTAAACGTAAGCTTAAAGATCATAGTGGCCGATTAAGCGTAAGCGATCGGTTACTGCGTGTACGTGTGCGATTAAAAATACAGATAACAGAGGTGACAAGGAATCCCATTCTATTGGATTGGCGTCATACGCTTACAAAAGGACGCCGTAATGAAAAGCCATGGGGCGCGATTATTACGTGCCTAAGTACTAGAGATGTACATATTGAGATAGTTGCGTTGAAACACGTTACCAAAAGAACGTGGAAAACGGCGCAAGCATTAGCAGATGAATTTTCGTTGTCCTACCTACGGAAAGCTTCACGTCATAGGAAGGTTTCGCTGAGAGGAGACTGTTACGGACAACGAACAATACAGTTTAGAAAGCCGACGAACGAAGCTGCCAGCCAGATGTTCTTCTAGGAAACGGTCGGCGGGACGCAGGTAGCGGAAGGGCCGGTCGGTCCCTTTGACCAGCATGGTAGTTTTAGGTTTAGTTTTAAGCTATTATTTGTATAACGACCAGATAGATTTACGCAGCCGTGCCGGACGGACGTTAGTTATAAGCTCGCTTCGCTGTATTATTTTGTGTCACCATCACTAACGTTCGACCAATAAGCGGTAACTTATAACTCCACTCTGAGTTTCATTTCGAGAATAGCGGCGGTGGTTCAGATCGACATCGTACGCTTATAGTGTGCAATTTTGTAGCAGATGTCGAGAAAATATGATATTTTTTCTCAATTAATCAGAAGCTGAAATATTTATTACATCATATACCTACCTATATTATTTCCTGAATGTTTTTAAATTGACACTGTTAGACCACACAAACGCACACCAACGTTTTCGAGTTCTGAATCGGACGCCTAGTGGTTCGTAAATCTAAATATAATATTCCATTATGTCGAATAAATAAATTCTAATTATCAAATCGATACCTCCTAAGTATACTGAGTCATCTAACAAATTTAGGTATTTTGTTTTTTTTATACAAAAGTACATAATAAACCATGATCTTAATGTTAGTGTTATTTTTTTTTAAAAGACCTATAATTACCGAGATAATTTCACGTATACTAAATCAATTTCAACATCAGTTAAAATCGTACATTGTATACTGATCCAAATAACATTGTATCAGTATTCGCGGGGCGTGAGGAGGGACACATTGATACAAGTATATTATGGCTCAGTATACGATAAATGACGGCGAGGGCGCGAAATTTTTTTAATTTTCTCAATAATAAGGTGAATAATACTAATGATACAATTAGCAATATCTCAGGAATCGGTGATATAATGCAAAACAGGGATGAATATGGTAAGTTACATTGATATACTTTGTTTATGTTACATATAGTGTGATTTTGCCATTTTTGTTTGATAATTGTTACACGTTGCTTAGTACGCCGTATACTGATACAACTATATTTACACCTGTTTACAACGAACAAACTTTATAAAGAAGACACTTGATTTATCTGGCTATAATAATGTACTAATTCAATTTTTGATATATTTGTTTTATTTGTGGTATAATATATTTTTTTATGTGTTATAAATTTTATAACTTGATATTAGCACGTTAAATATAAAATATGAATTCTTGTGTTTTTAATTGTTGTTTGTTTTAGAGTCTCCATTGCCACCGGATGCAAATTTTATGGAAGAGGAGCTTTCAATACCTACTTGATGATATTGATTAGAATGATAACAAAGAAGTATCGCAGAATATCCCTTCTAATGCTTACATATTATTCCTAGATTATATTCTTTGCTCTTCGCCTTGGGTATCGAATGTTGATAACTGAACTCAAAAAGGAGATCGATCACCATCAGTCATAGAGAACACTCCAGGTAATTCGCCCATCCAGAATAGCATTATAGAAAATTATTGTTATATTACTCCAGTACCATCGCCGTATAATTCTTTTGACTCATCTCCTGTTAATTTCTGACATTAATGATATCACATACTCATCGTCCAATAACGCCAAAAGCGCATTTCCATTGCGAAAAAAGATAAAGAAAGGCTAAGAGTTTTCATAAAAAATGTAAGGATAAGGAGAGGAAATATAAGCTTAATAGAGGATTGGAATATGTCAGTAGAAACGGAAGAGTACATGCTACGAGAATTATGAAAACTTCTTACCCCTCAACTTGTCGGAAAAAATGCAGTGAGAAATTAACAGAAAGTTTTGGATTATTGGACCACCGAAGACAATGGGTTTTTTGGCAAGATATGTTGTAAAAGCTGGAAAAAAAAGAGAAAAAATATTGTCGATAAAAAAAAGGAGTGAAGGAGATAATATTGAGACCACAAAAATATCGGTTTGCAAAACTATGTTCTTGAGAACCCTTTCTATTAGTTTTGATTTTGCTTATACAGATTTAGAAAAGTCCGATAAAGGTAATGGATTTATTAAATCAGATCAGCGTGGTCTTTGGATGAACATATAATCCATCCGATAACGTTCACAGTCTTATAGATCACGTTGAAGCATTTTCTCCTGTAGAGTCACATTACACTCGCCAAAAATCAAGTAAAAATTATCTGGAAGGCTTTTTATCCTTCCCAAAACTGTTCATGAATCGAATGGTTTATGGACTACCGTGAGACAATATCTATATATAGGTTTTATAAACCCAAAAAAGATATTTGTGAACAATGTCACATTTATGAAAATAACAAGCAAGTTCTACAGGCAGATAAAGAAAAGCATGAAGAGCATTTAAAAAAAAAGAGAAAGCTAGAAAAATGAAAACAAAAGATAAAAAAATCAGCGTTACAAAATAATGAAATCCTTACATCAGCATCTGATCTTCAAAAGTGTCTTAATGTATGTACCTCACCAGAGCGTGAGTACTTTTTATTATAAACGGAAACATTATTTGTATAATTTCACGATATTAAGTCTGGGATCTCGCCAAGGTGATTGCTTTTGATGGTATCAACAGACAGCAAAGAGAGGTGCAATTGAAATTTCCAGCTATCATTTTAAGTTTATAGAAGATACGGGTGGTGAAGGTGTCAATGATTACCGGATTAGAAATAGGATTTATTTCTTAATGTATATGTTAGGTAGTTTAAAGTGTAGTATAGCTATTAGCCATCGCTTTCTAATAGTGGGTAATTCACAAAGTGAAGGCGACAGTATGCACGCTTTAATTGAAAGACAGACAAAGATAAAAAGCTTTATATGCCTGATCAATGATATACAGCTTTTAGATACATACACAGTTATTGAAGTGTCTCAGGATTTAATAAAGGACTTCAAATCAAAGTCAAAACTTATAAACAACGGACTTATAATGATGGATCTATCTATCTATCTAAATAACTCTAATGGAGCAGAAGATAGTGATTCAGACTGATTTTTGATTCGTTCAACCTTTAATATTTTTATTTATTTTGTTTATCCTTATAGCAATTTTTTGAGCGTTACAATTTCCTAGATTTTTAGATATTTATATTATTCATATCTATTATTTTTATTAATATTGTTTAACGTAAGTTACCATTTTTAGTTTCTATTATTTTTATTGATGTTAGTTACTTTTCAAGAAACTTTAATGATACTACATGCTACAAAAAAGGGTCCTACTAGGGTATAAACGAAAAATACATCGTGATTCTTTAAATGTGTTGTTTTGTTAATGAGACTACTTCTTCCTAACCTTTATTAATTTCGTGAGGTATTCGAAATACCTAAAATGAGTAATTAAAAAGCCTCGATTAATTATATTAGTCCAGTATACGTTGAGGTTTTAACTACTAACATAGGTAAGTACTTTCCTAGTATAATGAGTCAAGTGATGTAATTTCAACATTTTATTATTAAGTGGGACAAAAAAAATCGAAAATAACCAAAAGTAGTATGATATTAATAAAATGATTATCATATTTCGTTATATTCTCGAGTAAGCCATGGATTTTCATGTACGACGTACATGAATATAACTGGTAGTTAAACCATTTTACTATTGAGTCCCGCCCGTGTATAATGAGTCATGTACATAAAATATCATTTTAAAACAAAATTCAGCAAAATCATGTTATACCAAAGGAAGAGCTTTCAATCTTTATTAAAAAAACATTTAATTTATTCCGAATTAGTTTTATTTCATTAAAATATAAACAATTTGCCTTAAAATGGCTCTCCTATAAAATTACTAAAATGTTAGTTGACTCAGTATACTTAGGAGGTATCAAATGTACCATATTCATCAGACAATATAATCCAACAACAGATTGTGTTTTGTATTTAAAAGGAGAGGCTTACTAAATATGTAGTAATTTTCAAATTATAATAAAAAAATTGGTTTGGATCGAAAAAAAAATGGTTTACTTTTTACTACACACTACTAGATATACACTCATTAAGGTGCAGTTTAAGCGGCTTCAGGCTTTTGCTGACCTAGGGGATGTTTGCAGAGGCGCAGGTCATCTTTAATGACAACAGTGCGGCTCTCCTTGGATCAATTGCAATTGATAAGGGATGGAGTGAGATTTCCGCTGCGAGACTCGCAGGTTCATTCGCAGGAGCTCATTTATATCATGTCTTGTACTTCTTTTGCATTCATTTTACTAATATGACAAATGTAAAATGAATTAAAACACTCGACGTGGTAAGCGGGCGCAACTTCTTTGTTTCTCTTCCTTCCTTTCTTTATGACAAGTCATAAGTGTAAATGTGTTACTATATGATTAAATTCTTGCAGAGCCGCGAGCGCGTACAAATTTAATCAGGGAAGCTCCATTTCCACGTGTCTTGCGCACCCTGAATATTATTGCATGTGAGACAGATATATTTAGTTGCCCACTGGCTGAATTCACAAGAATTGCATGATTTATAAAAATGTTTAGGCTTTATGGTTTCTTGTTTTGTTTATACTATGTTCTTTGTTTAATTTTTATATAAATAAGTTTTCTATTGTATTTGTATTAAGTTAATGTAAGAATAGAAAATAAGGAAATAAATAAACCAATGTAGCTTTAAATAGGTACATTAACCAACAGTTTGTATTGTCTGATGTAAAAAAGTTATTATAGGTTATCCGTAATGGATTTTTCGATCAAAATCAAATCAATAACGGAATCGAATCGAAAATAACGTCAAAAGCAGAAAATTCATCAAACTGAAAATAATTGTTTTATTGTTGAAGATCGTCTTATGTGCAAAATATGCAATTTTCATTAAAGTTCTAATGATATGAAGTTCTTAAAAATATCTTAACACATAATAATGCTAAAGCCAATTTGGTATTTTAGGAGCTTAGGCTTACGTAATGCTATGTATATCTTCACAAACGATGATGCAGGCGTATAAAATTAAATACAGTAGAACCGAACTAAGGACCGGCGATACTATGTCGTACTAACCGGATGACGTACAAAACGGATTATTTCTTAAGTATACAGAATACATATGAATGTATGTATTAAGAAATATTCCATGTACCTATTAAATTACGAATACATATTTATTATAATTGGGAAAGTTTGATTTTCTTATTTAGGTAAATAAAACATTTTCTTTTCTTCAATTGTAAAACACTTTCCTTACAGAACTCATTTTGTCGACTTTAAGAACTTGTCATAACAAGTGACAAACACTAACTATGATTTAGCACGCCACTAAGGATGACGCGGGGGGGGTGTTGGCCGAGGTATTGGTGGTAGGTTGTGTAAACAAAACATTGGGTTTTAACGGACGTATATCAAAAAATGGTCGTTGGTGCTACCGATGACTAAAGGTTACATTTTCTAGTACCTAACTATGAAACCTCTGATAAACATTATGTCGTTAAGCGGTTAGTGTTAAAGGAATGTTATATTAGTGGTTCTACTGAATACAAATATCTTAATTACAATCGACTTAGGTGATGGACTATGTGTAGAAGTATCCCCTCGGTGTATAATCTTCATCAGACGGAAATCATTACTACCTACACTAAAAAATTAATACCTTTCAAAACTTATTTTTTTTTTCAAGTACGTCTTGAATCCTGTCCTATCTCCATCGATACTGTCAACGGTAGTTTTGACTTTCGATAAATTTCGAGAGCATTCGATAAGTTGTGAAAGATAACATTCACGAGGCAGTTAGTTGTGCTGTGAAGATGGCAGGTCTGACTCTACTCTTCGGTATGTTCTCTATGTATTTATCATTTTAAAATATTAAAATTTTACATATTATATTGATATATGATTCACAATTCGAGTAGAAAATCGGATACTAGTGACTACATTGGTTTTAGGAAAATGCACGCAAATGCATTACAATTCCGATACCGATTCCTAAAAGTCCGGCAACGCACTTGCGAGCCCTATGACCTCCTGCCTCTTTTGCCCGCTGTTATATAAAAAAAAAGTATTTTTACTACAATTTAATGGTTTTAATCCCGAATAACTAACATATTCCTTAGTAATCGTCATCGTCACGTCGTCACGTCATCTATTTCGAGTTAAAGTAAAACAAAAACACACATCTACTTACATGTATTCAAAGTTCGTTACTTTAAGATTAGATATAGTACTTATGGGCGAGGTCTTTTCAACATGTTATATACATCTAATTTATAAAATTCTCGTGTCACAATGTTCGTTCCCATACTCCTCCAAAACAGCTGGAACGATTCTTACGTAATTTTATATTCATATTCAGTAAGTCTGAGAAACGGATACTATCTATCTTTCAAACCCCTAAGTGATAAGGGGTGTCCAAGGTCCACCCCAAATTTTAAATGTTTAATTTTTTAGATTTTTTTTGTTGTTTTTATTTTTTTATGATACACCATACAAAAATACATACAACCCCTAATTTTCACCCCTCTACGATCAACCCCTATTTTTTATTATTGTAGATAGTTATTTTTATGGAACTAAAAAAAAGGTGCCTAGAAATAGTATAGGTACATGGCAAAACGACGTTTGCCGGGTCAGCTAGGACATTCTATAATTATTGCATTAGTAAGTAAAATTATTGAATTGTTTACTAGGAGTCTTAGCCGTTAGTGCGTTGGGACAAACCCAGACCATAGAAGTACGTCATGGAGTCGTTGAGCTTACCTTGGAACCGCAAATCACTGGGGGTTTCTTACTGGCGATGACCGAAGGTTAGTGGTATTCTTATATCCAAAATGTAGGATGTTGTATTTTGCTATGTAGAATGGAGGGCAAGTGGCGGCTCCTTATGAAAAATGTACGTTTTATTTGGATTGTAGGATAAGTGCATTTTATTTTTTTGATTCTGATGATATGTTCTTTACTAAATAGCTTTCCAGTAAGTAAAATGAGGTAGAGATTGTTTTAAAGACTTTTGTCACCTATTTTAAGCATTTTCTCTTATGTATCTATAAGATAAGTTAAAACATACATTCTCTTAACTGTGAATTTGTAATCAATTGTTTATATTACAGGAAATGATAGAAAAGTTTTGGGCCAGATTGGACGTACTCAATACTCCGTATATACGTCCGAGGAGATAGAGGGCGGAGTTCTTATTCGTATTGGGTCTGCTAATCTAACTGTTCGAACCTTATACGATGATGTAATAGATGCAAGAGGCATTAAAATCAAGTGGGACACTAAAGAGCCACTCCGTTTTGAAGATTGCTATGATTTTGGTATGGAATATTCAATTTATAAAAAAATTTAAATTATTATATTTCTCTTTGGCTTCTTTATCTTAATAATCTTTAAGATTAACCTTCTTAAATCTTTTGTAGAAAAGAGATATAATATTTATATATAATACATATTTATAATTTAATTATTGCGTGTTGTTCCCACGAGAATGTAGGTGCGTGCTCCTATTTCACCATGATAGAGGACAAATCTTAATTTTTTAATTTATTTTATTATTATTAATTACTGAAGATGTCATGTGGAACATGGTGTAATGGTAGCTCCTTACAAACATTGTATAAAACAAACAATTTGCTGATTAAAAAGAATGGCGGAGACTTTATTGCCAGTTCTTCACTTCCGTTCTACGTTCTTGATTTGAGAACTGGCTGTAAATGTAAAATTAAAAGAATTTAATGTATATTTCTTTTTTGACGTTCATAAGTGTACATTGCGTTATCTATATGAATGATTTTGATTGATTGATTGAATAACACTTTGTAATATTATAGGCGACAAGCATTGGTATGGCGGACCCATGCAGGAGACACAAATATATCCCATACAGGATGCCAATCATACATACACGGCCTACGTTACTCGAGAAGCTGATAACGCTAACATAGTCGAAAGATACTGGCTTAACTCCGCAGGAGAATACATCTACGTACACCCACAAGTACCACTATTTGTAGACTACAACCAACTCAATCCGAATCACATATGCTTCGGCGCACAAGTAGCTGAACCTTACTCATCTAAAAGAAATCACACTGAGCTCTCCTACGACATCTGGTTCCTATCAGATGTTAAAGCAGCGCACAAGCATGCTGTAGCAAATTATCTTGGGAAACCGTCAGACTTACCGGATTACCGAATGGTTCAGCATCCGATTTGGTCGACGTGGGCTCAGTATTCTTATGACGTGTCTGGACAAGATGTTATCGATTTCGCTCAAGAGATAAGGGCGTACGGTTTTAATGATTCCCAGCTGGAAATCGACGATCTCTGGGAGACATGTTACGGATCTCTTGAAGTGGATACAAATAAGTTCATGAATTTAACTCATTTGATTGAGGAAGTAAAGGCGCTTGGATTTCGTGTAACCATTTGGTTGCATCCGTTTATAAATAGTAACTGTGAGCCTTGGTATAGTGAAGCTTTGGAAAATGGGTAATGTACTCGTATATTCTAGATATGAAATTTGTAGCTATCCTATTGATATCTTTATACTCTTCCAATATAAAATACCTTCCTTTGATCACAATTTATATATTATTCCAAAAATAAAGAATTAAGAAATCTGATGCGTAGCCAGTTATCTATGGAAATATATTACAATTTATTTCAGAAACTAGATGATATGCAAGATAACTATTATATTTTTCAGCTACCTGGTATTGAATGAGGATGGCAGTCCAGAAGGTTCATGGTGGAACACAAATGGAACAAGTCCTGGACACATCGATTTTACAAATCCCCAAGCAGCTAATTGGTGGTCTAAAAGAGTTAGGAATCTTTTAGAAACCTATGGCATTGATAGCGCCAAGTTCGATGCTGGACAGAGTAGTTATACGCCTCAGGTAGTATTGACTTCATACATGTTGGTAAGTAATTATATGATCGGTTTTAAGATCTTAGTTTTTTTAGATACCAGTGCAAAATGGAGACATAGATTTGCACCCACACCACATAGTACAGGCGTTTGTAAGGACCTGTGCTGAATTTGGAGATATGGTGGAAGTCAGAGGAGGATTTATGTAAGTCTATTCAAGCGAACATATACCATTAATATATTCCATTGTAAGACTATGCCTACTTACCTATAATCATAAATAAAAAACTAACAAATTTAAAACCCGCTGCTGTTGCTTGGTGGTATAGAAGTGCTGAGTTCCATCCCCGGCGACTTTTTCGTATTGGTAAGCACCGAAGATTGATTATCTATTTGCTAGAATGCAGACGCAGTGTGACTGTCCATTCAACCAAATATCAAATATGAAATCATCAATGCGATTCAAAATCTGTAACAAAAATCTTAATAATTTTTAAGTTATTATAACAAATACTACCACGAATTGATATATATCACTTGTTGACCCGGCAAACGTCGTGCCATGCCATGTGTATTATTTCTAGGAAAATTTTTTTTAGTTCAATAAAAATAACTATCTACTATAATAAAAAATAGGGGTTGATCGTAGAGGGGTGACAATTAAGGATTGTATGTATTTTTGTATGCTGTATCATAAAAGATATAAAGAAAATGTATTGTCTAAAAAATAAAAAATTTGGGGTGGGACCACCCTTCACATTTAGGGGGATAAAAAATAGATGTTATCCGATTCTCAGACTTACTGAATATGCATAAAAATTTCATAAGAATCGGTCGAGCCGTTTCGGAGGATGGGAACGAACATTATGACATATACATTATGATTAAATTTCCAGGACTCAAGATCTTCCAATATACGTCCGCATGGTAGATAGAGACTCTATCTGGGGGCTTAACAACGGTCTTCCAACCCTCATCACCACAACTCTCCAAATGAACCTGAACGGTTATCCGTTCGTTTTGCCTGATATGATTGGTGGAAACGGATTCAATCTTAACCATACACAGGCAGATGTGCCGTCAAAAGAGCTCTTTATACGATGGGTGCAGGCTAACACGTTCCTTCCGGTGATGCAGTACTCTTATGTACCATGGAATTTTGACAACGAGGTGTGTATATTGTGAACGATTTCTGGATTAAAATTGGTAGTTTTTTTTTTTGATTGGACAATTCACACCAATTGACCTAGTCCCATGCTAAGCTGGTGAAGCTTGTGTTATGGGTACTTGGCAACGGATATACATACATATTATAGATAGATAGACATATAAATACATATTTAAACACCCAAGACCTAAGCACAACACCAAATGCTCATCACATCGATGTTCGTCTCAGCCGGGGATCGAATACATGACCCATGGATACGCAGTCAGACCACTAGACCAATGATCCATCCGAGTGAGTTTGAAATTGCATTTTAAGTTGAATTATTACATTTGCGAAAATTATCAAATGAGTTTTTTACACCATACGCTTGATTAGCGCAGTCTTTACGTCGTCATTTATTTTTCCGCAAACACATTATTACAACTTATTATGTGTGAGAGAACAATAAATCGTTATCTATTTAGATCCTGTATCAATGCGCAATTAATCACAATAATAATTTTAGTCACGCGTAATTTATATTCAAGACGTTTCTTGCAACAATAATTATTTGCGTGTAATGCAAATAATGCTGTTTTAGAAGTAAGTTGGAAGTTATTTGAAGTCACCAGGGGAACAGGGGAAGACATATTTTTGCATCTGTTCTTTTCGCCTTTTTGTAGGTTAAATGATATTTATAACGAAGAATCAAGAAACGTTTAATTCTATATAGACTAGGTCAACCAGAGACTAAAAATTATTTAATCTTTAATCATTAAATTAGACAATAGAAATCAGCAAAAAATATACTGATCTTCATGCCGCTTACGCCGCTGAGATCTACGCAGCAATGGGAGAAGCTGTGGAACAGGGAAGTCCAGTGAACCCGCCCCTCTGGTGGATCGCGCCTAGCGACCCGGAGGCACTCGTTATATGGGATGGTAACAAACACTACATATAATAATATAACAATATGTATAATGTTAAACGTCACTCTAAGGGTATGTTTCACAATGTACGGATAAGTTCTAGATAAGTTCCAAATTTGCTATTTATTACTTATTGGTAGGATAAACACAATTGTTGTGTTTCACGACTGTCAGATAGCGTTATTCGTTACATAAAGTCCATCATAAGTTATGAGTCCGATGAAGTGTCAAATAGCACAATTTATCTGTCAAATAATGTATGTGTTGCATAGCTATTTGGTACTTTATCCATACATTGTGAAACAGACCCTTAATATAATTAATAACTGAGAGCTATGGCGTCAACGAACTGTTAATAAATCAACAGTATTGTTGTAATATAAATAAACAGAATAGACGAAAGCATCGGCTCCTAAATTACTTTGAAGTTGTAATTATTTTTAAACAATTAATCCCATATTTAAAAGCGTCAATTGAGGGGGAAACAAGTTTCATAATTGATTTATGGCAAGTCTTCACTAGAAACCCGAAACAATTAGTTTTCTAAAAATCGCGCCTAGGACATAGATTATACGCTGTATTAAGCGGTACTGCCTATAATTACCTAACGTTTCCTATTTCACAGAATACCTACTCGGTGAAGAAATCCTCGTTGCTCCAGTTCTCGTGGAGGGTGGGAGATCCCGTAACATATACCTTCCGGAGGGCATCTGGTACGAGGAAGGGGATATGAATAGAGCTCACGTGGGGCCAATATGGCTGAAGAATCACCCAGCACCCCTGGACTACTTGCCATACTTTGTTAAAGATCATAATATTGAACCTAATTCAGCTATGACGTTAAGTTTTAGTTTTGCTTTGATAGTATTGTTATTAGCAGTTAATTTGGGTTCTGGCTTATAAAATAACAAGAAACCAAATAATATATACTTCATATCAACCTAAATTGAATTCAAGTCTTTCTTTTTATTTACACAAATACAGTATTTACTTTTTCTTAACTTAAAGATAATAAATAATAGAGAAAGAAGAAAATCAAAACAAATTGGTGGAGTTGTACCTTTAAGCTGGCACAGTTCTTCAGCGATTCGAGACTTATTCTTTGAGCCAGGAAAGCTCTGTGGTCACCTTATTAACGTATAACAAAGGGAACCAAAAATTGAATTGAGAAGATGGTATTATATTTTTATTTCTTTGTGCGGGGGGAGATGAGACACTACATAGCTATCCCATACTAAAATTTGTATTTATTGTTAACCAGATTAATGTCTCAAATAAGATTTCAACGCCAGAATGCTTAAACTGACCTTAATGATCGATATACATTACGTATTAACAGAAAAGTATTGTTTACTAAGGTAAATAGATTTGAGTGGATGTGCTGTCGAAATCTGTATTTGTGTAACTATATGATAGTATTTTGTCTTAATCATTCCAATGTCACGTTGCATATAAATAAAAGTGACAAAAGATTTATTAAATAAGTCATATCTGTGAGTTTTAAAAATATCACCGCATGGTCTCTGATGGTAAAAAAATATCTTTTAATTAATTATAATAAAGAATATATAAATCGCACATTTTAATTACTTCCTTGCCATCTTCGATTTTCTATTTATAAAAGTCGAGCATCTATTAAGTAATAAAAAAAAAAAAATAGTGATAAGATAACTAGAATAGAACATACACACAATGTTAATACTCGGAAAAAACGCAGGCTGCAATTTCCCCGTACTAGACTATCTAAAGTTAGTAATTCTTTTTGGGAAAAGGGATACTCTTCATTAATAAAATCCCAGAGGCTCTTTTATCTCTGACTTTTAATAAATTTAAGAAATGTATTAAAGAAAAGCTGTGTAAAAAGGCTTACTATAAAGTTAACGATTATCCAGTTGATAAAAGGGCCTGGGACTAGTGCTAGACAGGCTACTTCTAATTAATTTGCGATATTTGTTTAAAAATAAGTGTTGTTTGATGATTTGCTATTTTTAAAAGAGTACCGAGAGTTTTTTACGCCGGCTTTTTCTCTCGGCCTACACCCTCTGTCTTCTTTGCCGATGAGTAGGGATGCCTACCTGCCTAATAAGTGATACCTGTATCTTAGGTTCCATAATAAACATATTTTATTTTATTTTAAAATATTTTCACTTTCTTGTATATATATTGAAAACGATATAATACACGTCGAACATAATAAGATCGGTTTTTTTAACTTAATTAAAATCTTACTCACCTTTAATAATTGCATGTAATTTATATATGCACAATCAATTATTATAGCAGAAATGCAGTTTAACAGTTAATTGATAGTATAATTGCTCTCAATGATATCCAGAAAAACAGATACAAAAAGAGTAATTCTGTCGTTTAAATGCAGTTTTATGTTGGACATACGACATGGATTACACGTTGTTGGGTAAGTATTTGTCCTTTAAGTTGTTGTACAAAACCGACCGTAGGAATTTTTTTTTAAATAAAATAATTTACTATGCTTTAAAGTAATTAGTTAAATGGGGAAGAATTAGTTGAATCTATGTAGTAGAGGGAGTTTTTACAATTGTTGCTCTCAAATTCAAGACATCCGGCTAACCTATTGAAAAATACCGCTTCTCAACAAACTAACTACGTCGTCGTAACATGTAATCCTATAGTAAACGTAGGTAAACCTAACATTTTCTATTAAACAGTGGTGACTCTGCTAACTGCGTGTTCAGCGTTGGATATTAAACTAGTGGACAAACGCGAAGTAAAAGTGCGACTCGAAGACAATTTTCACACGGGTCTTAACATAATATTAGTCCGAAGTAAGTACAAAACTCCAAAACATTTTTAAAAATGTTGACCTTATCGACGATAATTAATTAATAATCTGTAAATATGTAAGTGTAATGTTTATTTCATTTATAGATTATATGTATTTGTATTATAATTAAAAATCTCATTATATCAGATAGAACAAAAAAATCTAAAAATACACTTTCTACTGCAGATCTAATTCATTGTTACTTAAGACAACATATCTTATACATAAAATAACTTATGCTAATACAATTTTGATTGATCTCTTACATCATTTCAAGGGGGTATTCGTCAGGTACTATCCGTAATAGGCCGCAATACTGGGGTTGTCAACGGAACGTCCGTAGATGGGGATGTGGTTATTCAGTACAATAATGGTACAAGCGTAACTATCAGTTCTAAGGAAGCGCCTAATGGCCATGTCATCACATTCAGATGGAAGGCATCTAAGGGCGGATCCAGCTTTGGTGCCAGGAGGGGGTCACATAGTCGTGGTCAAGTCAAGAACTTATAATTTAATTTTGATAACAATAGATACAAGTAAAAGTAGGTATTTTATTAATGTACGTAAGTATTGCACTTATCAATATTTATTCTTTATTGTACACTTGAAAAACTTAACACACAATATTGTGTACATACAGGTCAATAGTGACATCAATAATTTTTCAAAATCTCAGCTTCCTAAAATTAGTTAAAGCTACCTACTCAAAAAAGGTTTTAAAGTTAGAAGTTTAGTTTTTAGCTGGATTTGTTCAAACATTTGACTTCAATTTAAAAATACAAAAGAAGTTTCCATAGCTTTGGCTAAGTTTAGAAACTCGAGGGTTCTAAGCTACCAAAATCATAGAAAATATAATACTAGCTGATCCGGCAAACGTCTTTTGCCATGTATGAAAAAATAGGGTTGATAAGGGGTGAAAATTGGGGTTATGTATTTTTTAATGTTGTATCATGAAAAATAAAACTTTATCTAAAAATTAAAAAGTAATAATTTAGGCGTGGACTACCCTTAAATTAAGGGGGTGAAAAATAGATTTTTCCGATTCTCAGACATACCCAATATGCACACAAAATTTCATGAGAATCGGTCGCTGTTCCGGAGAAGTTCGAAGAAGTTCGAGTGTCGAAACACGCGACACGAGAATTTTATATATTAGAAATACTATTTTTCAGTAAATTGTGTTTTTATTTGTTATTTAAAAAACATGTAATTTCACAACTAGCAATAATCATTTCGAATAACATTTTGAATTTTGAGTGGTAAGACCAAAATTATTGTAAGAATTACACGTGCTACTTTTTTAGGGTTAAATTAGTAAAAAATATATCATAAAGTTTTCCCATAAGAAAAATAAAAGTAAAAAAAAAATACAGTTTTAATGCTTCAATGATTTTTGCCTATTGACATGAAAAGGCCGATTAAGTAATTTATTTTACGGGTATTAAAATTAATTAAAAACCACATTATTAAGTTTAATTTACCATAAGAATAATAAGTCGAAAAAACATTTTTAATCTTCAATATTTTTAGCCTATCCACCAAAAAAAATCCACCGATTACAACAAAAAAGACCAATTAGTAGTAGTAGTAACATTCTTTTCTATTTTTGGTAGTTAGAACCCTGTGGAGTTTTTAAACTTAGCTAGAAGCTATGGAAACTTCTTTTGTATTTTTAAATTGAAGTCGAATGTTTGGTCAAATCCACTTAATAAACTTCTAACTTTAAAAACTTTTTTGAGTAGCTTTAACTAATTTTAAGAAGCTGGGATTTTTTTCTTGAACATCATTTAAGGCAATCATTTAACAGAAAAAAACTGCGAAATACCTACAACAAAAAAGATATGAATTTTTGAAACCTCGCTGGCAGAAAACACAAAAAAATGTATAACTCGAAAACTACAAAAAATCGCGGAACATACATGGGGTATTTTAGTATACCCCCAGGTGTGAGTAATCTAAAAAAATTATTGACTCATAGTTGGACCAACCTGTATACACGTACATATTACCATCTTCTCTTGAAGACATCCAGAGAAACACTATCACTTTTTTTGAAGTGGAATCTCGCTGTTGGCCTTTAGGGCCTTTAGGGCCTTTACAGCTTAGCTCGGCCTGACTATCACGTACGGAATGAGGCAGCCTATTTATATTACATAACCGTGGTGAATGATTTGTCATAACAGCTAGAAGTATGTCGAGTATGCTAAACTTCGCAAAAGTGAAGAGATGGTACGACAAGGGATTCCATCAAACAAAATAGAAACAGACAAAATACATATATTTTAATAACTAAATCAATTTTTCTTTAGCCTGTTTTTCCGAAACGCGTTATTACGTCATTTACGTCAACGGGTACGTTTTCATGAACGTGGAGAAGTGCCAGTCTGGTTAGGCGATCTTCAACCATTGAAGATCTTAGATTTAATTCTGCGCAACGTAGAGAAAGACCTTTCTGCTGTCGCTTCGGTGAAGGGTAGTGTATCCAATTTTCCTATATACATATTGATGTCACAATTTAAAATAGGACTATGTTATGATATGTTGAAGTTTAGTCGTTCCGATTCCGATTGAGGTAAGGTCTAGCTATAAGCGCGCTTGTCGCTATGTTTCATAGCGACAAGCGCGCGCAGGTGTGGCGCGGAAAATTCAAATTTTCGATGCGTTCATTCCCAAACGTTTGCCATCATGTATGATGTTATTATATTATATTAAATTAATTAAATATTGAAGGTATGTAGTTACATATAATCTGTATGGTGACAAATTTATATATAAAATCATTATTTCAATTAGTGGTCACCTAAGTCTTGCTCAGGGGGTCATGACCCCATGACTCCCTGATCCGGTTGAGGCATCTAAAAGTCAACGATTGGAGGATTGTGTCAATATAGGTAAGATTATAATATATAATTAGTGGTAAAAAGTAGTATTTTTATATATAATCTTTACATCCAAAACATACACAGAAATGTACAACTAAGGTAAATTGAAATTGGCGTCGTTTTAAATATAATGTAAAAACAAAAGTATGCAAGCAAGTTCATTTACATTCAGTAACAATGCAAGATTATAGTAATTTAGTCCGTAAATAGACTTAATTGATGGATGTAATTATTTAATAAATGATAATATATTCTCATGGAAAAACCCCAAATTTAAATTTTGAAGTTATATTACTCCGTTTTTTATTAAAAATAATGTTTTGTTATATGTTTAGGTAGTCACCACTGGTACGGAGGTCCAGAACAAAAACGACAGTACTGGCCTATAGAACGTCTGCTTCTCCAAGATTATTCCTTCGTCAGCAAAGAGGCTGACAATTGCGCTGTCGCCGAACCATACTGGCTTAGCTCTGATGGCATCTTCTACTACTTTGACAAGAAAGTTCCACTATTCGTAGACCAGAATAATATTAACAAACAAGCTGCATGTTTTTACTCACACATCAAACCACCATACTCTGATAAAAGAGAAGTAAATGAGTTAGTATACGCCTTGGGTATATTTGAAAATCCTCGCACTGCACATGAATATGCAGTTCAGAGGTATTTAAAACATCCAAGTGGCATACCCGATGAAAGAATGCTGACATATCCAGTTTGGTCCACATGGGCTCGTTATAAGAGGGGTATCAACCACGATACAGTTATGAAGTTTGCAAGTGAAATAAAAGATAATGGTTTCCCGAATAGTCATATAGAAATTGACGATCTGTGGGAAGTATGCTACGGTTCACAGACTGTCGATGTACGGAGATTCCCTGATATGAAGAATACGGTAGACAACTTGAAGAGTATGGGATTTAGAGTGACCATTTGGACTCATCCATTTATCAATAAGAATTGTGAGCCTTGGTATACGGAAGCTGTTAACAAAGGGTAAATTTTGGTTTGTATAGATACGTTGTATACGAGTTACGTAGAACAATAGGTACAGGGGTTCAAAACTGGTTAAGTGAAAATCTGTTTATCACGGTTATAAAGAAGAAAAATAGATAGATTTTAAAATATTTTTTTCATATTTTGTATGTTAACAATATATTATATGACATATCTATTCGATTTATTAACAGTCGTTAGTGGTTTACTTTTAATGCTTTCAGGTATCTAGTTACATCTGAATACGGTTCAGTAGAGACGAGCTGGTGGAATGACAATGCCACAAGCACTGCTTATATTGACTTCACCAATCCTGAAGCCCGTGTTTGGTATACGGAGAGACTGAAGACTCTTCAGACTGAATATGGAATTGACAGCTTCAAGTTTGATGGCGGGGAAAGTGGCTGGGCACCACAGGTAAGTTTATTTTGTATAAACATGCTTTAAATAATAATTCTAGAACTTTCTAATACTAAACCTTGCCTAGTAAGGGAATGTTTGAGTAACGGCCCTAAAACACTTAGGAGCTGTGAAGTATAGTTTATAAATATTGTTTATAAACAATTAATTTATTATCAATGCCTAGAGTTATATCAATCATTAACAGTAAGGGTTATACGTTCCAGAAACATTTAGTAATACAGATCCGTCTATTCAACAGATTCCAGTATTAAAAGGCGACATCAATGACCAGCCTGGCGTGATTACAGCTGACTACGTGCGGACAGTCGCACAGTTCGGTCCGTTGGTAGAAGTCAGGACTGGTTATAGGTAAATTCTTGTAAGCGCTAAATAGGTCACCCGTATGCAAAAACATGTTTGAACCGATATACGGGAGTCATTACTCAGTTACTATGGGTTCGCGGATTGCATCATTTTCTTTTTTGCAACATAGCAACCTACGGTTATGGCGTGTTCAAATTCGTGTCTGCCGTCACTGACAGTAAATCTACCGCGAATTTGTGGCATACCTATGAGAAAGCTACAGGATATAACGTAAACTGCTGAGCGGTCAATGCCGCGCTCTTTATTTAGATTTTAATACAGCTTTCATTTAATTATTAGGACTCAAGACTTACCCGTATTCATCCGAATGATAGACAAGGACAGTTACTGGACATTTGAAAATGGTCTACCAACGGTCGTCACTACTCTCCTTCAGCTGAATATGAACGGATACCCATTTGTGTTGCCAGATATGATTGGTGGAAACGGGTATAATGAACCTCCGTCAAAGGAACTCTTCATACGATGGTTGCAAGCGACAACGTTTATGCCTAGTCTACAGTTCTCTTATGTACCGTGGGATTTTGACGATGAGGTAAGAAAAATATTTTTTACGAAAGCCTGCTTAGTAACTTAAAATATTCAAAAGTTCTTTGATAACCCAAAATATTTAAAAGTACAGAGAAACTTAGCAAATGGAATTTCTAAAATAATTAACTAAACAAAAATACCATGTTTTATTTCATTGATATATAATTTGCAATAATAGTATCTAATCTCACAGACCGTACAAATAAGTCTCAAGTTTGTAAAACTCCATGAAGAATTCGCACCAAAGATCATAGAGGCGTGTCAGAAAGCATCGCAAGACGGGTCTCCAGTAAACCCTCCCATATGGTGGATTGAACCTAATAATACTGAGACTTACGATATTTGGGACCGTGAGTATTATTAATCAATCACCTATTGTCAAAATATACACTGACCATGAGAAAGTAACTCCAACATCAAAACTAGGGTAATTCATAGTCGAAACTTAGCGCAAACTCTTGACTCCCGTATTCAAACTTAAATTTTTGACATAATCAACATAAGTTCTGTTTTTTTTAAATTCGCGCATTATCTGTGACTTTAGTTAAACGAAATACTCAAATAATTTATATTAAAAGTAAGCTCAAAATCACGCAATACCTACTGTATTTGACTCGATGCAATTTGATGAGTTTTATAATCTTACAGAATATTTACTTGGTGAAACAATATTAGTAGCACCAGTAATAGAACATGGCGCAAGGCAACGTGACGTATACCTACCGAAGGGTTCGTGGCAGGCCCAAGGCGACCCTTCTACGATTTTCGAAGGCGGTGATTGGATACGAGGATATTCAGCACCATTGGACGTCTTACCATATTTTATTAAAGCTTAAAATAGATTTATGTTATCTTAAGATTTTTTTAATCGCCAGCGCCATCTATTGCATTAACAATATTTTTTTTGTATTTAAATCGTTTTTGGAACTATTCGGATAATTTATAAAAGTAACTGAAGAGACTACTAAAGACTGACGAGTTACTAGTGAATAAATTGTTTTGCTTAAAATAGAATCACCCTAACAATATTTATAGTATGAATTTTGGTTTTAGTAGATTTTAAAAATTTTTATATTATGATTATAAAACAAAATTAAAATCATAATATAAAAATTATTAAAATCTACTAATATCTAATGATACATAATAGTTTAGTCACTGAACAATATATAGAAACTATAAATTTTTCTCTAAGAATTAATGAAACAAATTATAATACATAATAACAATTTATTAAGAATTAGTAAGCACATCTTTAACAATTCCTTCACCGAGGATCTTGAAGTCTTCAATTATAGCTTCAATATTTACTTTGAATTTCTTGTCACTGCCTTCAATTGGTACTAGCGCGTGTGCGTTTGTGATCTGAAAAAAGTTAATTATCAAATATTTAAGTTTAAAATCAGGGCAACACATTTCCAATGGTATTAATAAATTTGTAAGTAACTTAATAAAACATTTTCCATTATTATTATGAATCAATAGAAGTTACATGCAAATTAAAATTTACAACAAAAAAAGTGGCTGCGCTCGTACGATAGCTTTAATAGCGCGGTAGTATTAAAGACGATTTTAATATTCTGGTAAAGAAAAATAAAAAAATTCAGTGGCGTTACTATCATTTAGGTCCTCAGATTTCTGTATCTGTTTCGTTATCATTCGTTTTTTCTAATAAACAAGTAGGTGATCAGCCTTCTTAGGCATGCATTGCCACACGAATGAAAACTGCATCGTACGAGCGAATGTTAAATGCGCACATAGAGAGAAAGTCCATTGGTGCACAGGCCAGGTGCGATATCAGGGAGGAGAGTGGCACATTGAACCAGGCTAACACCGCCCTTTCATAGTAAAAAGGTAATAAATAATACCTGAAATTCTCTAGTGTCGTTGACATGTGGTTTCCATAAGACAGCAATGACGTCACCACCATAGGTATCGTAGAAGAACAGAGCGAACTCGTCATACGCGCTCTGAAATTAACCATGAATTCTAATAAGTTTTGTATCACAATCGACTTTTTAAGCGAATTCAAAAGGAAGATCATAATTTGGCCAATATATTGGTGTAATTAGATACAGTTTCGGTTTAATGATAGCATGTAAGCTCCCAGGGATGTTTGCTAAATTTGGTAAGTCTTTTCGAACAATCAATCAATCAATCAAATCATTTATTTCAATAAGCCCACCTAAAATGGCACTTTTGAACGTCAAACAAAATACAAAAAAAATTCTAAAAGGTAGTTTCGTGTGGAGAAGAATTGGCAAGAAACTCAAACACGTATATTCCTTTAGGGGCAGTCGAAGTTCAACTAAAATCGGTTCAGTATTGTTTTAAAACATAGGTATACGTATTTTTTGGGAGGGCAATTTATAATTTTAACCAAGGTAAAGGTGGGTGGACTGGTATTTGAAATCGGTTTAATTTTGTTAAATTAATAATCTATATTTTGTCAATACAGAACATCTTATACAATAAAAATCAGGATAAGGATATCGATCCGGGACCGATTTCACTAAAAAACTAACCGTAGAACTGATATAAAAGACTGGTCGTCAACCAATTACAAGGTAAAATTATAAATAAAATAAAACATTCCAGACTTTTTCGAATAGGGTAACATTTTTGCACAATATGGTATATTCGGAGAGAAGCGGCTGGTCCCATGTGAATAAAGTTGGTCATTTTTTAAATTATATATTTTGGATTAACTCAGGGATAATGAAGCAATATCATGGTCAAAGAATTTAATCAGTCCAATAGTTTTGAGTTTATTAACATTTTTTATTTTAAGCTTCAGAAAATAACAATAAACTCACCCGCAACACCTCCAAGTATTTCTCGACCGGATTAAATTCAAGTACGGGTATGACGTCATTCGTTACGTCAATCGTCGCGGGGAGTTTAGGGCGCGCGTCTACGCGCTCGTTAAAGTACGGCACTATTGCAGCGTTCAAGTGGATTAATACGTCATATCCGCTGTACGACGGTACGAATGCTGGCTGTAATTTTAATAAAATATTAGTTTTAATTGGAACATTAAATTAAATACACCAAATCATCTGAAGTAAAAGGCTTGCTATGAGCACCTTCAGCCAACATTTTCGCTCTGATATATAAGGGAGCGTTCAAGTATTACGTAACGGAATTTTTGGAGATTATTGACCCCCCAAAATGTAACTCGCCGTAACGTTATTCAGTACCCAAGTATAGTAAAACGTTTCGTGACCATCTAGTGACTTTTTAGTTACTATTATGTGGTGTAAGTCGAATAAAATATTAACAATAACGCGTAATTTAATCCCCGCCCCGTAACGTTTTACAAAAGGAAATAAATATGTTACGTAATACTTGAACGCTCCCTAATGCAAATATAGTTCCTGGGTTCGATTACCAGCCAAGCAATAATTATTATGCCTCATCATTGGATAGATTGTCTTGAATTGAGGTTTAGTGCTTCGAACTTGATTAAAAGCAACAGTTCTTTAAATATTGCAAATTTTAGTCAACTAAAAGATAACATTTACAGTATATTAGTAATTTTTAGTGAAAAAATAGTAAAACATTAACACTTACTAATAAATTATCATTCGAATCCTTTAATAGAGCTTTTTCCACATAAGCTAAGGTAGCTTTAGCTAAAACTTGCGCACGTGTCGCCACCTGTTTACTTGGCGCAGAACTACTCCAGATTGAGGGCATTGACCCGTCATATGACGTCACTATACACATTACCGGATCCTCTTCAGTACGATTCGAGAATTTTTGCTCTATTTCCATTATTTCTTCACCTGAAAATCAAAATAATTTCAATATAAACTTAAAGCTTTCAAGTATTTTATTTATATTAAAATTGTGTTAATTGTTTGTATAATGTTTAGGTTGAAATAAAAGGGTAGCGAGGAATTCTAATAATAGTGTATAAAATGTTTATTTTCCTTCACATTTTAAATAAAGTAATTGAACTTATTATTTGAAATATAAAAAATAAAATAAATCAGTGGCGCTACAACCTCTTTAGGTCTTGACCTCAGATTTCTAATCTGTTTCATGATGATGATCATTTTTAAATCTAATAGGTAAGTAGGCACTGGAGCCTGACACACGCCGTCGACTTTTTGGGTCTAAGATAATTTCCTCACGTTTTCCTTCACCGTTCGAGCGAATGTTAAATGCGCACATAGAAAGAAAAGCCGGGGATCGAACCTACGACCTCAGGGATGAGAGTCACACGCTGACGCCACTAGGCCAACTCTGCTCTTATTATTTTTAAATATCAGCATGCCAAAAGTGTATAAATATTACGAAACGTCAAAGATTTACATAGAATTAAAATTCTCTAATACCAGCAAAGTTTAATAGGAATAGAAACTGATACTTACGCGTCATATCACCATTGAAATCAAGAAAGATAATTTGCGTAGCCCAATCGGTTTGCACCAAAAGTTGCAGAACTCTATACAGCCCCACCGTGGGCTGTGTAGGAGGTGTTAATGGCTCTGGTTGGAGGAAGACAGTGGCAGTTAGCAATTCAGCAAGAGTAGCGGGGAAATGGGGGGGAGAGAGGAGATGGGACGAAAGCCAGCGTTTGAATAGACACGCGGTTGGTCCGAAGGCAGAGTGCCTCTGATGTAAACTGAAAATTAGAAAATTCATTTGTTTTTAATCATATTAATTTTCTATTAGGAAAATTTTAATTACTTAGAAACACATTATTGAAATAACGCCTGCTTTTTAAGACGTCATCTGACCTTACGCCGCGGTCAGCGAAATTATTAGGTCAGAATACCTATAGAACAATATAAACCTTTCTATTCATACTGTCTATAAACATCTTGATTTTCTAGAGCAAAGATATTTCCAAGAGCATGTAAGTACCTTATCTTAATCTCTAAACTTAGTAAATAAAAATAAAAAATCAGTGGCGCTACAACCTCTTTAGGTCTTGGCCTCAGATTTCTGAATCTGTTTCATGATAATTTTTAAATCTAATAGGCAAGTAGGTGATCCGCCTCCAGTGCCTGAAACACCGTCGACTTTTTGGGTCTAAGACATGTCGGTTTCCTCACGATGTTTTCCTTTACCGTTCGAGCAAATGTTAAAATGCGCACATAGAAAGTCCATTGGTGCACAGCCGGGGATCGAACCTACAACCTCAGGTATGAGAGTCGCACGCTGAAGCCAACACTGCTCTCGAATTAAGTAAATAATATAATAAATACGCGTTTCAATGTATTTTTTCATATGTACTACCGTAAATACCAAAGATTATTAACAAAACAACTCACCCGTGTAGCGCGCCTCTTAAACTTGCCAAGAGAAATGTATCCCGCTGGATCCTAATACTTTCCTCACTTTCCTTGAACTTTACGACTCCATCTTCCACCTCTCTTCTCAATAATGTTACTTCTTTTGGATGAAAGATCTCTAGGCGGTATGACAAGCCATTTTTGATGACGTCAATATGAGTGGGATATGCCTGGCTTGGTAATGAATATTGGGATGTGAGCCGCTCTGATATTTGCAAATGAAATGCGGCTTTTAAGCATCGGAATGCCTCGATTTCACCCGGCCATTTACCGCTGTGCGCTGGAAATGTTAATTTTAGGTTAGCGAAACATCCTTTGTTTAAAGGAATACATTTTCGGCATGGGCTCGCTTAAAAACGTGGTAACACTGATCAACCTATGAAGGTATAATAGTAGTTTAAGCAACTGTCATATAATACCTAATTATATGCAGTTGCATACACTACTTTATTTAATCTCATGGCTATAGGTATATTAAATAAAATGCAATATGAAATAAACAAAAGTCTGTTATTGGTATATTGGCTCGG